CCTAGTTCTGAGAAGCACCGTTTCTAAGCTATTTGCAAAAAGGGAGAAAATTAATTTATTTTTGTTTAGATCAAGTTAACCGGGTACATGTTACCTAATTTCTGTGGAACCCAGTAGCTGTCAAAACTTTCACATTTTTACGAATAACTCGGAAATCGTAAATTTTTCAGGTAAAACGGTTGAAACAAACATAAATTAAAATTGAACGGCCAATCTGAAAATAACAAAAAAAGGGGGGGGTTTCATTTAAAAAACCAAAGTTGGTAACTACCACACGTTTATGATACACCCCGTATATTGGAAAGTAATTTTAAAATGTGGACATTTTAAACATGAAAACTTTCGTAGGACATATTTTCTTGTAAAGTTCATATTTACTGAGATATCGCACTTTGACGCACTAATGAGCAACCCTGTATAATCAAGACAGAGGCAGAAGTATAGAAATATGAGTATAGAAAGTAAATAAGATTGGCTTGCTTATAGGGACTATATCGTGGGCTTAAAGCTAAAACTGACTTGGTCTAAAATATAGTTTTAGTAAATGCACATTTAAACCGAGCCGAAAATTATCTGCGAGTCCTTTTGGAAACTCTATCATTAAAAACATATTTTAGTGCACCGATTTGTGTGCCTTGGGGGACTTTGTCAGTTTTTGAAGACAAATAGTTGTTTTTTTATTTAAATTATTTTTGCAACAAAGAACTTCAGTTTATTATCGTTATGAATGGCCAAGGTCAGAAAATCGCTAAAAAAACAAAAAATTACGTTAAAAATAGTGGACTGTTGACCAGTAGCAATAAAAGGCATTTATCCAGCTTGCATCAAAATATAAAACGACTTGTTTCAATACTTAATGTTGTATGAATACAGAGAGAATGCATTAATTGAAAAAAGATGCTATGGAAGGGAACAATTTCAGGAATTTTATATTTTGTTTACAAAACGTATGTTTATGTCCAGGAAATTTGTTGCATTAAATTAAAAATTTCTTTAATAAATCGAATATTTCGTCCTCTTCCAGGTTACATTTCACCCATTTGCGATCCGGAAGAAATCGAAAGTAAAAAAGGTGTTCACTGCCTTCTAAAGGACCACGTTCAAAGTGCCATCAATCTTCTAAACGTCTTGAGGCCGGAGCTTCAAAAGAAATCACTTGCTTATCACTGCACCGATCCCACAATTAAACCGCAAATGACTGAAGCGGAGATTGTAAAATTTTGTCTCACAAATTATGCTGTTAATAACGCGGCTAAAATCAAGAATGACCTAAGAAACTTGGAAGTGATGATTTTCCTGAATCCCGAATGGAAAATAGACGTCGCTCAGACGGATACCAATGAGGGTGCTGCAACTAAGGAAAATATTGTGAAAAATATGGTAGGATTTTTTTTTTATTGAATTTTTAATTGAAATTATTTTAATGGCGGTCTTTATGTTGTTTTAGGAGCAGGTGCTATTCAATATCGACAAAAAAGTGACTAGTTTAGTGATGTTACATCCAGAGTTGCCTTATAAGTGTGTTATCTACAACTACTTCGTCAGTGCTCTTTATTCTCTGGCGATGTTGGGCATTATTTTCGCTGCTTTGTTCGTGCTCAGATTATCCCTGAAGTTCTATGGCAGATACGAACAGAAACAGAAAGAGGAGGTATGTATTAAAAGGTTTTTATTATTCATACTTTATAAGATAATAGGTAATAATTATATAGAGCGAGTTAATTTAGACCAGCTGGATATGAAAATGCCCTAGAAAGAACATTGTATTATTAAAGGTAATTCCGATCTGCTTGGCATAAAAAAATTGCACTTGTGGAGTGATCGGCATGGGTGCTTTTAGATAAAATCTCCTCCAGAATGTCTGAAGATAGAAAGTTGTTGAAAACATGTGGATGAATCTAATATCTGGAAAGGTTTAAAGCTTAACTAAATTTGGACCCTGGAAAGTTTTTCACATAAGTGAATATATTTATAGAACGAAAACGAATCTCAATCAAATCTGTTGACAAAGACAACTATTGGGTGAAACTGGTGAGTTTTCGGTCTTTTAGGCCGTCGTGGAAAAGGCCTAAAAACTTACCAGTTTCGCGCAATGGCCGCGAATGCCTCACACGGTTATTCGAGAATATCCGCATGAAAAATGAAGATTATTGTGTAGTTAGCAAAAATTCCAAAATAATTAAGCTGCTCAGCGTATGAAGCTAGTTTAGTAGAAGTATCGTTTCTCTCTGAAGTAAAATTTGCGGATGAGTAAGTACTAAAGCAAACTTCAAAATAAAAAATAAGCTTCTAGAAAGCGTGAAAAATTAAGGCATTTTTAATTACAGTTAAACCAACATTCCATTTCTACTCCTGGAAATAAAGCTGAAACGTATTTTCCTGATTCTTCATTATAAAATAAGCAAATAAACTACTCTCTCAGCAAGCAAGCATCAACGATCTATTGTAGTTTAAAGATGCGCTCAGATAAACGTATAACTTTATACATTCTTCAATCGCAGGTTAACTCCATGGTGGAAAAAATATTGGACATTCTTCAGAATACCACCTCTGAAGGTGCAGATATTAATTATGTGGTAATTAATCACGTCAGGGATGCCATCCTCAATGTCAACGATAGAACTGGTGAGTTTTATGCCTCAACAACCAAGTCCATGTGCCTTATTTATGGAATAATTTTTAGCCAAGCAAAAACTTTGGGAGAAAGCCGTCAAATATATCTCCGAAAACGAGTCGAGAGTCCGGACAGAAGTGCAAAGTGTTCATGGCGAGTCTTTCGATGTGTGGAGATGGATTGGTAGCGCCAACCTAAGCATGACTGGGTGAGTCCCAAGTAGCCCTATTGATTTCGGTGTAGTTTAGTTGTGCGTCTGTTTACATTGTTATTGTATTAGTTGATAAGGGTGAAAGGTAGTGTGCACGAATGATGGAACTGTTTCTCGTTATTTTTAAATCAGTGGCTCATATTACGTGGTAATTAATCTTCGTAGCTCAGCCATTTATTTAAAAATAATTTGGTATGTGTTGGTGGATTCGTAGATGTTGAGATTTATAACAGGGAACGCGTACTGAGAAACCGGCCAGTCTCGTCGAGCACACTACTGTTTGCCTGCAGTTGGATGAACAGTAACAGCCTGTCTTTTTACAGTGAAGCAACAGACTGCAAATACCGGGCAGGCCGACGAATCGTCGATGTCCAATATCTGATCAATGAGGTTCTTAGATTTCCCCACCGAACATTCTTTTTCTGCCAGTCCAAGGATGTTTTCATTAAAAACGAAGTGAGAGAAGGATTTTTCTCGATTTACGTTCTAAGGTGCAGACGATGTTTGAAAGAACAATCCATCTGTAGTGAGGAGCCTGAATCGGATCTAATGGATGTCAATCTGGCCTGCGTAGCAGGAGTTTTAAGCATTAGACTGGATTTATATCAGCTGGGTGAACTGTGCAGCGCCCTACGCATACCTGCAGTATCAGGAAAGGACTTTGAAAGATACCGCGATGAACTTCGCAATATATACAATGATAGCAAATTCGGCAGCGAGGATAGTTTCGAAACTGGCCGGATTTCGACATCCACTCCCACTAAATTAAGCGAAGGGCATTCCTCAAATGATAGCGAACGAATTCGATGTGCTCTAGAAGATATAAGTAGTTCTCTAGCGGACTTGGATTTGCAGCAAAAGGAAAGGGCATTCCTGCAAGAATTATCCAAAGATATCGAGAAAATTGGAATGCTCACAGTGGATCAAAGCAACTCCGACTTATGGTTTAAAGAAAGGCAGAAACGACTCACCGCATCGAATTTTGGACGCATTTGCAAACTGCTTGACAAAACCAACAGAGCTAACGTAGTCAAGGACTTATTGTATTCAACCTTTAAAGGCAATGTCTACACTAACTACGGTAAACAAAACGAGGATAACGCCATAAGACAGTTCGAACAGTCAACAGGAAAGAAAGTGCGAAAGTCTGGTCTGCTGATAAGCAAGAAATACCCGTTCTTAGCCGCATCGCCAGATGGAATTATTCTGGAGGAAAATGCCCTAGTAGAAGTAAAGTGCCCGTATAAGGCAAGAGATTTGAGCATAGAAGACGCTTTTAACAATAAGGAAATTTTGTTCGCGACTTATCAGGACGGCAAGCTGAGCCTTAAAAGGGAGGATAAATATTATTATCAGGTTCAGGGCCAACTGCATGTGGCGGACAAGGAATTTTGCTACTTCATTGTGTGGACTCCGAAGGGTTTGGTATATGAATTGATTGAAAGAGATGAGCTAGTTTGGGAAAAAATGCTCCCCAAGTTAGAGGGGTTTTACTTCAATCATCTGCTCCCGGAGTTATTGAATAATATTTAAGTCATTGGAAGAGTATGTTCAAGAACATATTGAGACTGCATGATTTATATTCACTGGGTGCTAGATTATTTGAAAAACGATGACGATTGAATGGAGACTGTTATGTTGCTAATTAATTAATTAATAAGTCCACTTTGGACTGAATTTGAAAAAAAAAATATTTAAATAAGAGGTTGGTCTAAAATTATTTTATTATGTTAATAATTTTAGTTAAGAAGAATAGCTATATATTTATTTATGCATGCTGGTTTATAGTTATATGATTCTATGCCCGACATTTTTTGTTTGTTGTTTTATATAATGAAAGCTAGTAACTACATTAATATGTTACTGTATTTATGAATATTTCCGTAAGGATTTTACAATTTTAACATAACGTATATATGTTATGTATCTAAAATAATTAGGTCCCTGATTTCGTGTACGATTTCTGAATTTCGCATGTTTTATACTACAAAGTATGATTACTGAAAGTAGTTTTTTCATAATGACGATGCAATATTTGTTTGTTTGCTTTTTTAGCAACGTTCATACAATAAGACCCTTCACTCGCGTTAAGAGTTTCTTTAAAAAAAAAAATGACATTGATTGATTTAACAAAGTTTTCGTTATATCCAATTATATGTTACAGAAGAAGTATTTTGATCGACTGAACGAAAAGTGCGACTAATGTTTATATTTGTTGATTTTGAAATGTTTGTACTGGTTTTTCGAGTGAGATTCACTGGCCAGTTGTTTCGCACATTTTTAAGGAATTTTATACACGCTGGTGAAACCAATGTAAACTGCAATTCATCACTTTTCCTGTTAATTAGTTAATGTTTAACTATCGTAGATGAAACAAGTTAAAAAACTGTTTTCTGTGAGTGCACGCTTTAAGTCCAGAGTGTTTCAGGGCTGAATTTGCCAAAAGTCAGGGAAAGAGTTTGCTTAACAAAACATAAAGCTTTTACATGGACATGAGCTTAGAAAAGCGCCGTTCGAGCATTCTAGAGTCATTTTTTGCTCTTGTCGATTTGAACTAAATGTTGTTTACGATTAATGAAATTGTTTGATCCTGTAGTTTTCCGCTTTTTATGAATTTATAACTAGTTAAAAGTTGATATGTCGGAAACGACACACTTTCAGACCCATGTTCATTTGAACTATTTTGTTTTGTTCCTTTAAAACACCTTGTGTTTTTGGATCTTTTAAATTTCTTTGAAGTTCAAAACTTGCTACTCTCCAGCAAACATTGTGGCAACCGAAATGCTATAGGGTGTTTTAAAATTGGCGTTATTTCCCTTATGCTCACTTACAGAGTACGAGAAAAATAGAGAACATATTTTCTGTTTATTGAGGACATTAGCTCTTGAAGATGCAACTTCAACTTTGCCCATATCTTATAGGAAAATGCAATTAATACGCGATTTGTTAATTCATTTGCTAATAAGCACTACTTTGAAGTAGATTTCTACTCTAGTCTTTTGTCTGTATGTAAGCTGAACATTTGTTTTTTACTATTTCTTTTCCAATCCTTCAAACGCTCTCTTTTAACAAGCTCTTACAGAAGGATCACTCTGTAGATTTACAATAAATAGTAGGATATTTTTGCACTAGTGATAATGAATGTGATCTAACCGTTTATATATTGTTGTGATTATGGTAATAAGATGTTCAAATAAGCGAATACTGAGCTCAGTTTTGCTAAATATTGCGTCCGTATCTGGACAATATTTTTCAAATGATTCGTGAGTTTGCTGGAAGTTTTATATTCGTTTATTAAAAGCAAACGAGTCTATAGAACTTTTGTTAAACACAAAAATAAGCGCTAAAGTTTATTTTAGGAAAAAATGTTGTACACTAGTACTTATTTAGTTTTGAGCATTATTTGACATCTTTGCTATGTTGTAAGGATATAAATTTACCATAAGCCCGATATTTATTCACAAATGCAACTAATAAATATGAACAAAAAATATGTAGATGTCTCATTCGTATCGCCTCTTGCAATTCAACGGCAAATCAGTTTAAGTGAGAAAGATAATGTTATTTCAGAAATTCTCCACGTAAAGGCGTTTGGCAAGGGCAGGCATTTGATACCGACCCAGGAGCAGCGAACTCATTGACTCACGCGCCTACTCCATGTTTGAAAATAAGGGGTATGCTTGAAGAAGGAGCAGGTCCATTGGCTGCAACCGCCGCTCGAGATGCGGTTTTATCGAAAATTGCCCATCGCTGTCGCATTTTGCATTGTCACGCCGAAGTGCAGTGCGGAGTGGTTTATTTAAAGTGTGGCAATGAAGATGATGCCTCGGTGGCTTTCAAGAACTTGCACGGATGGTGGTAAGTGGTTGCACATTTCTTCTAGTGTTTGAAGGTATTTATCCGTTTTTTTGCAGGTATTCTGGTCAGTTAGTGACTGTTAAGTACCTGCGAATGGAAAGGTACCAGGAAAGATTCCCAGATGCGCCTTCTGGTCCTCCCTATTTGAGGAGCGCCAAGCCATGTGACGACTGATTACTTTAAATGTTAAAAGCAATTGTCAATTTTTTCTTTTCTGTTTTTTTATCGTTTTTGTGGGGAATCTTTCAAACCCCGCCGTTTGAGTTGTTGCTTCTGGCATTTACGTATTAAATTGAATTTGTTCTATATGGCGGTATTGACTGTTTTGTTAAGTATATTTTTATGTGAATGAATAGGAAGATCTCGGTTAATGTTACATTAGGCAATTAGATTAATATTAAATATCGACTGCCCATATACGGTTGAAAAATAGTCTCGTTTAAATTGGTCTTCCATTTAATTTTAACGAGTACGTGGGATATGGAAGGAAACCGGCTAGATAAATATGATCCTCGGTTTTAACTCGGTTATTTTATAAGCGGTTGACTGATTTTCTAACTATCTGTAGACAATGTTTTGTAACTCGAACGAACACTAAACTGGCGTCGGTTTTGTTACATGTTAGTAAGTAATCGTATTTTAGATTAAAATTTGTAAGGCGTGGATTTCACTGTTACTTTTAGATATATTCAAATTCATTTGCCTTAATATGTTAAACTTGGTGTAGGCAATTATGAAACATATTGTTGCCACTAATATCTAGAATTATATTATATAAATTTCATTCTCTTACATAGGTTTCAGGTAGACCAAAATTTGTCTAGTTTTGTTTAAAGTACTAACATTTCTGGTTGTATTTTATTTTATTAACATGGAAATAAAGTTATTTATGTATATGTAACGAGTTTTCTTATGCTCAAAGATTTATATAGTGTATTTAATACTGCGATATATTAGTCAACATTTATTATATAATGTATAAATAGTAGTAGTTTTAGTTGTGTTCTATTAGAACATTTGCAATGTTAGTTGTAGTGAGTTTAGGTCTGACCGATTTTTTGATGCAAAAAATTACTGAATTTGGGTTAAGAATTATCAAATAAAATAACATAGGTATTTAAATAATTTAAAAAAAGCAGTTGCTTTAAATAAACAGAGCGCTGAAGTTAAAAACCATGCAACATTGCCAATTGTTCAGCTGTTTAGATTAATGTAAGGGACCGGAATTTTTGTCAAAGCATCTGTCAGAAGAATAGAAGCCATTTTGTGAAGCGCTAGTTGAGAATCTTCAGTTTTTGCTTTTATTAATAATTATGGCTATTAGCTTGTTAAATCCTAAAGCTGAGGTGGCCCGAGCCGCCCAGGCTTTAGCGATAAATATATCCGCGGCTAAAGGTATTCAGGATGTGATGAAAACGAATTTGGGTCCGAAGGGAACCATGAAAATGTAAGTCACATGCCGGTATATTTTAAAATTGCCACTCTATTAAGGGACATGGAATCAAAGGAGGGCCTGTATCAACCCTATTACAGAGTAAATGTTTCTTAGAAGGATTCAAAGTTGCAAATTGAGGGTTTTGTTTTTTTAACCTCATTTTGTGCGTGGGCAAGACTACTAAGTTGGGGCTGTTTTTTTACAGGTTGGTTTCTGGATCTGGGGATTTAAAAATCACGAAAGACGGCAATATTTTGCTTCATGAGATGCAAATTCAACACCCTACAGCCTCTTTGATTGCCAGGGCTTCCACTGCTCAAGATGACATGACTGGTCAGTCAATTTCTATCTAAGCCCTAACTCTCTTTTAGATTCACTGAGCTGTGAGTTGGATCAGTTCAGTTAAATATCTTTTTCTTTATAGGGGACGGTACAACCTCTACGGTTCTATTAATCGGGGAGCTGCTGAAGCAGGCTGATATCTACATTGCTGAAGGGCTGCATCCAAGGATTTTATCGGAGGGATTTGCGGAGGCCAAGGATAAGGCTTTGGAAATTCTGGACAGTATCAAAATCGATATTGAGATCAACAAGGAAAATCTCTTGGATGTCTGCAGGACTAGCTTAAGGACTAAGGTAAGCTCAGATGCTATTTTTTTCCAATTATTATTTAGAGGGCATAGATTTAGTTATTCTATTCTGAATAGAAACACAAAAAACCAAAGCTTTGCGGTTCTGGAAGAAAAGTAGTAAAAAAAGTAATGGTTGAAAATTCCAGTAAATTAACTTTGATCTCGTTTTTGTCAAAATGAACTTCTGTCTTATTATATTAATTGTAACTAATTAAATTTGTTTGAGTGAAAAGGATGTACAGGTTTGGTCAAATTGGACACTTTTACATTTAAAAGTGTTTACTCCTTGGGGATTCGGTCTAGGTAGTGGTGAGAAGAAGAAAACTTTCTTAGCTACCAAGATTTCAGCGATTTATTTTCCCCACTTCTTCAGGGGTTTTATACTTAATTTGGAGTGTAGCATACCAAAGTACTGTGTATTAGTTTTGTATGGAGAACTATGTTCTGCATTATACAGGGTTGCGTAAAATGAGGTTTACGAAAAACGGTTTACTGACAATATAACCAAATTATATCAAAAACATCAGCAGCCAATCAATATGAAAACGTTTGTACACTTACAAAATAATTTCAATAATTATGGGTTAAAACTGAAATCTGAATAACGTTTACCCATGCATGTAACGTCTAATGAACACAACGCGATAATAATATAATATAATAATAGAAATGTTTGAATTCTCTACCGCTTTCGCCAATGCAAATACGACACTTTTTCTGATCATTTCTTGCGACATAAATCAGTTCAAGGGGGCAACAGATTTATCACATTATCAATTCCAATTCCAATTCCACTCACTCAGAAATAAGCAGTTGTCCACATGCTTGGAGCAACATATGGAATGTGCTATATTTTGGAAAATGTAATTTCGAGCTCAGATCATCAAACATTATGAAATATGCAGAATGTCTCATTTTTAACGACATGTTTATTTTTTTCATAACTGAAAGTATTCCCGCTCAAACTGAAAAAAAAACAGGAAACTGTTGCTGTCTTCAAAAAATGCAGACTTTTGGAAAAGACATATGTATCTGAAACGGTGAGAGATATTGACTTACGGACCAACATCAGTTTCCGTTTCTTTGCTACAGAATAGGAGTTCCATTCAAGAGTGTCCAAATTGGCCCACCCTATACACAGAACAACACGAGCAAAAACGGAAATCTTTTAACGCTGAATAATATTTTTTAATAATTGCAATAAGCACTTTCAAATCACTAACTTGCAAACATTTATGTGCCTTTGCGTTAAGGACATGTAATTCGTTTTTATACTTAAAATTTCAACATAGGTTCATCACAACTTGGCCGATGTTCTGACCGAAGTTTGTGTCGAGGCAGTGCTTGCAATCCGCCCCAAAGACAACAAACCAGTTGATTTGCATATGGTTGAACTGATGCAAATGCGACACAAAACTGAAGGCGATACCACTTTAGTTAAAGGTCCGAAACTGACTATATTTTTAGTGTTTCATTTCGTATATGTATATGCTTGATCTTTAGGCTTGGTTCTGGATCATGGTTCTCGGCACCCCGATATGCCAAAACGCCTTGAGAATTGCTACATTCTAACTTGTAACGTAAGTCTGGAGTATGAGAAGAGTGAAGTGAACTCAGGATTCTTCTACAAGACTGCCGAGGAACGCGACAAAATGGTAAACACACTCACTGTCTTACATTGATTGGTTTTATGAATGCAATTTGGATTGTATTTAATTTAGGTGCTTGCCGAGCGCGAATTTATCGACAATCGCGTAAAGAAGGTTATTGCTCTGAAAAAACAAGTTTGCGATGGAACCAACAAGACCTTTGTATTGATCAATCAAAAAGGAATTGACCCTATGAGCTTGGACCAACTGGCAAAAGAAGGTATATAAAGATCAAATGAATACTTTTGCAGGATATCAATCTTTGAGTTTTGCAGGTATTATTGCTTTGCGGCGTGCCAAGCGCAGGAATATGGAACGTCTTGCTTTGGCTTGCGGAGGAACTGCTATGAACACTTTTGATGATCTAAGTGAAGCCAGTCTTGGATACGCTGGCGTGGTTTACGAACACGTTCTTGGAGAAAATAAGTACACGTTTGTTGAACAGTGCAAGGTTACTACTTTAACTTAAAAAAACACCGTTTTATGCTTAATAATTGGTTTATATTGCAGAATCCTCAATCTGTCACTATTCTAATGAAAGGCCCCAACAAACACTCCTTGGAACAAATCAAGGATGCCATCAGGGATGGACTGAGAGCTATCAATAATGCTATCGAAGATAAAGCAGTTATTCCAGGTAAATGCGCCATTGAAAATTATTTTCCATAACCAATCTATTGCCGTTCTGCAAATCAATTATTCCAAATGGCCGAGATTTCAGTCAATTGAGAACTAATTTTCATATCGATGGTTTATTAAGAGGGTCTAAGTTTTTATGTTAGATTTTTGAGATTATCTTCAAAAGATGCGCGTTTAGTACATTCATAACGATTTCTGATTGAGCGTAAACTTGCGCACGTTTACGCTTAAGTACTGTACTACTTGTTCTCTAAATTTTCAGGTGCTGGCGCCTTTGAAATAATTGCCAATAGAGAGCTTCTTAAGTGGAAGGACACCGTCAAGGGAAAAACCAGGTTGGGAGTTGTAGCATATGCCGAGGCTTTACTGGTAATTCCGAAAACATTGGCTACTAACTCTGGTTTTGATGTCCAGGTAAGATGCGTGCGATTTCTTGGGTGAAAACGGAATTGACTATTCCGCTTTTTAGGACACCATTGTGAAACTTCAAGAGGAAAGTCAAAATAACCCGGAACCTATTGGGTTGGATCTCTCGTCTGGAGAGCCCAACAACCCTAAGGATGTAGGTATTTTCGAGAATTATATTGTTAAAAAACAGATCGTCAATTCCTGCTCAGTAATTGCCAGCAATTTATTATTGGTGGATGAAATTATGCGGGCCGGAATGAGTAGCCTCAAAGGATAGGAAGGAGAAGGCTTTGCGTATTTTCATTTGTAATCTGCGTATTTTATCAGAGAAACATTAATCAGCTTTGACTAATAGAATTTGTATTGTCACCAATTTAATAAAGTTGCAAAACTGCATTTTAATCTGACTGCGTTAATTCTGTTTAAAATATTACCTACAGTACTGTGTCAACTTAATTCATGCTTTTATCTTCTGGCGAGCGTTTTCCATTTCCCGCTGAATTGCCTGCTGGTCTTGGGCTTTGCTGATGCGTTCCATCAGTTCATGATTGTAAGTGCTATGCAGCATTAATGCTAAAACTCCAGCCCGATTCGCCATACTAGCCCTTATCTGGCGTTCTTTGTCTAATAACTCGTCCAACTTTAACCATTGACGCACTCGTTCCAAATCAATCTACAAAAAAGTTTTAATAGCGACGTAGTGGCCAAGTACGAGGGTCTTTATTTACCTCAGCCCTCCTCAATTTCTCCCAAACGTAATGTTTGGTGCAAGACTTTTTGGGTGCTCTGCAGAACTCTCCAGTTGGCGAAAACACATTTGTCACCAATGGGCAGCCGCAAACATCGGACTCATTAATTTTAGGATCTTTGCAGTGCTCCGGACATAGAACGCGAAGTCTTTTACAGTACGTTCTATTGACAGAGTTGAAAAAGTCACAAAACATGTTATTTCCTGAAAACAATTTTTATTATGCGTCGATCATTTAGATGTTTATTAGCACTTTTATACCTTCAATCCTGGTTTTAAATACGCTTCCAAATGATGCCTGGGATTCGTACTTGTTAAAGCATTTCTCCATGTGTTTGATGGCGGTTTTAGAGTGGATTTCATGCCCACAGGTTACACAGTACATGGAGCTTTCTTCATCTTTTTCCACCTGAACGAACATCGAATTAATTAGTTTTGAAACAGACCATTAAATATCTAAGCGCTTACATCGTTTTCCCATTGTGGATCTATCATAACATTCTTTGCTCTGCTTACTAAATAATCAATTTCGCGATGGCGTTTGTCAAGCTCTTGCAGAATATGCCGCACGTCCAGCTGCTGTTTTCTCACTTGATCCAGAGCTGGATGAAGCCAAGCAGAGTTAAGATGATGGAGCTGATCTCTACTACGTCTCACTTACCCTTAATGTTCTTGTCTTCAGCCAATGACGGACTCAAAGCCCATTCCTGTAGTCTTTGCGGCAGAACTTGAAGAATTCGGGTTTTAGCAAGGTTCATTCCGCATTGATCATTACAGTACTTCGATCCATAGCGAGCACTTTTAACGCACTTGGGCCCGTAGCACTGTCTTGGATAGTCCGTTTTCAAGTGCTCATTGTAGGTTTGCTCATGGTCGGAGTTAGAATCCTTGCGCTTTCGTCGAGTGCTATAAAATTGCTATTAAATTAGTATACAATTAATGGCGGGAGTACATCTGGGCAATCGTCTTGCTTACTTATCATTCTGCGATTTAATCGCTTTTCTACCTTTCGAAGTTTTCTTTTTTGGTTTCCGTCGCATTACAATCAGCAGAATGAAATTAGGATTGTTCTGACATGTGCCTGACAAAACCAGTTTTACCTGAGCAGGTAAGTCTTAAATAGTGATGAGTCAAGCAAGATCAAGACCATAATTGCATGGTCTTGGTCGAGTCTTGCAGGAGTTTTCGAAAATACTGCAATTTTTATTATTTTGATTTAGGGTGTAGATATTTTTACGATTTGTTTGGGCTTATAAAATGTTAACAGTCGCACATTAGAGAAATATGAGTACATACTCAATTATTAGCAATAAACTTAGAATTCTTCGCAAAGATTAATCGTAGTGTTTGCACACCAACTTATTTCAGGACTCTGGCAAGGGATATTGGAACATACATGAGGTTTCACTGTTTCATAGAATGCATAGAGAAACACTTTTTTATTAACTTATACGTAAATTTCAAGGCAAAAGTTAAGCAATATTAGTACAAATATTTGTACCAACTACTGTGTGATTTAGGTAATTTAGAAGAGAAGGAAACCCATCTGAAATTTGTTAAGCTTTTATCTATGTCCCACTTGTTCAAAGTTTTGGTTCCTAATTTTAAATTTCCTCACTTAAAGTGAATCGTTCGTATGTTAAGTGTTTAAAACGGTTCAACAGATTCAATTCGATTTAATATCGAATACCTTTTGCGAGAGTCCAGCAAGACTATTGGTCTTAGTCTTGCTTTTTTTGAGCAAAACCTACACCAGTTTCATTCATTAGTCTTACGGGAGGAAAATAGTTACTTACGATCCGCCTAAAGCATTTACACAGATGCGCTGTTTGCATCGTTCTTTGTTTTTCGATGAGCCATGCTTCGCTTTCCTCACACAAACATCACATCTTCCGCAATCTTCAGTGCGGTAGCAGCCCATGCATTCTCCACATTTTTTTGTTTTTTTGTCTCCTTTACCTGTAAACTATTATCGATTAGGTTCGAGCAGTTGGCTTCGTAAGTAATTACTTTTAAATTTCTCATCTTTGCTTCTATTTCTGTCTGGGTCGTGTCTTTCTTTATGTTTTTTAAACTTCCGATCTTCGGAATGCGATCCGTATTCGTCTCTCTCGCGCTTAGTACGCCACTTGGTTTGCAGTGTCGGATCCTCCCTCCGGCAGCCAATGCAAAAGTATTGTTTGATCAGTTTGGCATCTTTTTCCGATATTTTTATGCAGTCGCCATGGTACCTATGGAAAAACTTGGACGCTCAATGGTTACACTGGCTGATTGAAAGTAATTTTACCATTCTTCACATGCATCGCAGGCTATCATGAATCTGGATGAATCTGAAGATCTGCATATGCAATAAGCTTGACCATCTTGTCTTAATAAGGTGTCGATTTTCGACTGCCTTTCAGGAAGCACAAATTGCTTCGCGATGTCTTCTCGCTGAAAGGGAGATTGCAAACTTTTTTAGAAAACCATCCATTATTCTGTTCTAAATAGTATTTCATTAACTGTAAATTGTGGTTTTAAGCCAGGCATTTCTGTCTGGGTGTGATGTATACAGGGTGCTTAAAATACAATAACCAGTCTTTTTTCTAATTGCATTTCATCTTTTACGTGTAATTTGAAGTATTTTTCTGACTAATCGAATGGTTTGTATACAGCGAACAAGACAAACCGCAGCTCATTAACAGGATTTTCACGTACATTATATGTTCTCATAGATATATTGTTCTTTAAATGTTCTTGCCGTTTTCTCTTACATGTCTTTAATCGTTTATACCAAAAACATGCCTTGAAGAGCGAATTAAAATGACTGAAAAAGAACAGTCAGTGTTAATATTTGGCAACTCTATTCTGACCCTATGGGCGGTTTCGAGTCTATTAGCTCGCATCAGCTGAGATTAGCCTGAAAATAACACTTCCAATGTGTACTTTATTTCGCCGAGAAAATACAAAACTTTGTTTTCATCCTTAATATCTGCAACAAAATATAACTCAATTCCACAACTTTGCAGTCTTAATTTGGAATAGCCAGTGTACTCTGCGGAAATAAGAGGTTTTAATTACGCATTTACACTGATAATAGTAATTAATAATACAAAAGACCGTTCTTGCCCTGAACGAGTTTATGCTTACCGCTATTTATTTGAATAATAATAGGTATAGTTATTTAAACTTAATTCGATTATATGCATTGTTTAACTTCTGTTTAATAAATAGGCTTCTTTTTGTTTGAATAGTTCTTATATTATTTAAAAAAATCTTGTTTTCATGACATAGAGCCTTCAACCAAGTTGATTTGTAATGAATGCTTCGATTTTATAAAATGACAAAAATTTCCTATCTCTGGATAGCTATATCTGCAGCGCTTCATATTCTTTTTAATGTTAATTTACCTATGAATATAAGTTTTATACCCAGTTTTTCCAAAGATCCTGTATATTTGCCGAGTAAGTACCAAAAAAGTCTAACAGTCTTATACTGAATTAGGTGTAACATGTGTACATTAATAAACCAAAAACTAATACGTACATAATAGTTCATTTTTTAGTTCCCAATCTAACGATTAGAGGTTAGGCAAAGTGAATGTTTCCTATTTACTTACTGTGATATCTCTACGTTTCCTAGACATGGATATGGTCCTAAATGGATTATCACCAGAAATATTAATTGAAAATCACAAGCACACGTTTAAAATATGCGACTAATAACAAATAACCGATATAAACAACCAACAGTGACAAATACCAAACCGTCACTCAAATGTCAAATAAACGCCGAAGTTGGAAACGAGTTTTCCCGTAGATATGGCAGCGCCGGATCCAAGGCTTGATGTGTCATAGGTTTCAAGTTAATTCTTTTAAAAACTTGATGAAAAAAACAACAAGTTTTTTAATGCATAAATATGTTACAAGCTACTCTAATACAATCAAGTTAAGTTTCATAAACCTCAGTTACATTCGAGTTAACACATGCTCTAATCTCGTCGATTATATCTTGGTAGCTCTTTTGAAAAGCTTCAATATCGGTGGTAATTTCTGCTAAAACCTGAGGCAGATACATAAAAACGTACTGAGAAGCCGTGGAAGTGGAGTCATCAATAATTTTTATCGCTGCTTGGTAATATTCAACTAACTCTCCTTCTATAATAGTAGCGCACGTATCATCAGAACATTCATCAATTTTATCGGAAAACTCTTGTAATTTTGCTAAGGCTTCTTCGCAAACATCCGTACATTCAATAATTTCATTGAGCGCATCCTGCAATATTTGGTCAATGATATCAGATGCGGCCGATATCATTGAACGGTTTAGTGCGTAAAATTCCTCATTTCCCACTTCTATACAGGCGGAGATATCTTCGTCTGTAAAAAACACGTAAAATTGACGTTTTGCAGCTGCAGCGGTTACAGTACTCACCTTTGCTATCAGCTACAGCTTCAAGTAAATTGACTTCATCCCAATACAATTTAGAGGCGGCCGTTAAATCGGCAATAATTGATTGTATTGTCTCATTGCGGTAATTTTCCAACGCGGTCGTTAATTCTCTCAATTCACTAGCAGCATTTCCTTCACGAGCGAACAGATCATTAAAAATTATTTTATAAGTATTCCTGAGCTCTTCGGGAGTTACCTGCAAAGGCTGGAAGCGAAATATTTCTCATGACTAAATGCAAGTTTTTCTAGTTATTAAAGTTCACCCATTCAACGCGGCAGGAGGTGAAAATAAATCACATATTATATAGTTATTTACGTAACCAGTACGATATGAATACTATAACCGCACGCATGTGAAGATTTGTACGACGAGGCTGTAGGCCTACATCCTCGTCGTACTCGGCCGAGTCGTGTAATCACGTAAGTGCGTCAATAATATATTATCCTACGTGTTACGTACATTATTTTATCTACAACTATAACGATTATTATTTTAATGATTATTTGAGTAAACATAATTAGTTATAAAATTGAATACAGAACACAGCTAGTGAGAATTTGCATTATTCATCAGAATCATTGTCAAAGTTGTGGTTTAAAATTACACATTTTATTCATTACAGTTCAAGCGATGATCCATGTGATATTGAGAACGAAGCTTTTAATGGTGTTTCGGATATTGTGCCGGAAAAACCGTGGAAGAAATAAAAGAAATTTTTGATCGGTACCAGAAATCGTGCAGTGAATCATCATCGCTTGAACTTATTCTAAAATGTGCAATTTTAAGACACAACTTTGACAGATTTATTACCGCACTTGTGCGGTAATTTAAAAAAAGCACTAGAGCGGTAATAAACATCATCATATTTGATAGAGTGCAAATTCATAATCATTATATAACAGTTGTAGATAAAGAACTTAAACTTACTGTGCGAATATCAGATACTTACTGTACTGAAAGCACTGACCAGCGAGACTAACAGCAGAATTAGTTTTGAAAGCATTCTGTTGTTTCCAGAATAAATAGTTGATCAATTTATTGCTCTCAGTATTAAATGGTATATGATGATGACCTCAATTGGCAAAGGTACTTATAAGGATGCCTTGACCGAACTCCTCTTAACGATAAGGGAATTCAGACGCAGTGCACATTCCTGAAGTTTTTTTTCTTTTCAGATAACGTTGTTTTGCCTTCATTCAATCAATTTACAAAAGATCAACTTGCAAACAAATCCACTGCATATTCAGTGGTCTGAAATACACCTACATAGACAGCACTTGAAGACAATACGATTTATAAATGAGCGCTGCACTTTTTGAAGAAGCTCTTTTAAATATGAAACTGCTAAGCATCATTGTACAAGAAAACATTGCAGAGATTGAAATGCGTTAAGAACATTTTGCTTCTAATACAGTTTTTTATTAAAACATAACTCGTCTCATATGTTAAATAACAGCAAACCATTTTAATAAGCAACGCAATACTCTCACAAATTACGTCTTTTTACAATTTACCTTCTGAATAATTGCAAACTAACTGTTTTGATTCATTACAGCCATACACAAAACACATTAAATCAATCGCTTCTCTAAACCTAAATACTTAACAGATAAAATTATTTACTAAAGCGTTAAGAGAATAAACTTATACTTGTTGTTAATGAAATGTTATTCAAGCACTTACAAAATTACGATCGACTTGTAAATCCAAATAATTAAATTCTTTCAACAATGTTTTGAACATTTTGCATATAAATTATCAAAAAAAACTTACTCTGAATTTTTAGGATTATTACAATTATCCAAACTTTTCTGGTAATTGTGGTAGAAGCGTGCAATCATACAATTTTCTCAATAACTCCTGCAACTCATCATCTTTGGAACTGTCACCTTGGAAATTAAACCATTCACGCAAATTGTTACCAATTTCACCGTCTCTGCGCTCCATTTTTACTTTTTCCATCAGATCCTTTCGTTGGCATTTTGTTTCATTGATGTACGCTTTCAACCAGGATCTGTTCGCGCTGGATTCTTCATTTTCAGAATCCGAATCAAAATCTATCGGAAACAACATAATTCTACCCTATTGATAGTAAATCATGATTCAATTACTTTTCTAGCAATTTTGAACAATGAAAAATAAATAGCAAATCGCCCACTTTTTAAACAAATTTGTTAAAGAACTATCTTAGCTTTATCTCCTCAAAAATGACTTATTTTCGAACACTAATACATTTTTTTATTTAGAACTAATTTTTGAAATAAAAATTTCCAAACCTGACTAAACAAACCAAAACCACGATAATATAAAGGTCGTGCACGAATTAAATGTGGCCAGTTGAAAACATCGAACGTTCCACCAACTCAAGTTAGCGATTAGGAGACGCGTAAAGAGGCGCGAAAAATGCACATCCAGTGCATTGACGATATTTTTTTGCATTTTTGACAATTGTTTTTGGGATGAATACATTCTTAATGGTGTGATAAACTATTTTCCGGAACTATAAACATATGTTTTGTAAGACGCGTTCACATGCACATGTGCACTTATTGATGAACCGCTACTGGATTCAGTTTGAGTTCAGTTCTCTAAAAAAATCTCTTTTTGCATGGCTTTTTGTTATGGCAAAATAAATTATTATTTTTTAAACGTATCTATTAAATACTCACTTTGCTTGTTGTGGCTACGTTCGCAATGTTCGGTCACAACTTTCGTTAGGGTTTCATCAATTACATCCGTGGTCGATATTGAAGAACTCATTATTTCGTACAATTCTGCGTTTGTGGATCTGTGTTACAACACCGGTTTAAATCGAATTTATTTTTAACTATTGTAGAATTTAATCACCAACCTGGCAAAGTGCAGATTATGGAAAGTAGGATTATAGTCAATATCGATCACTGATTGTGCTGGTTCTTCGAATATATTAACACCAAATTTCTCGAGAAATTTTCTAGTTAAATTATCCGTTACTAGCGCTTCTGTGCAGTTATTTAGATAAACTTTTCTTGCCTTCATTTTATCATTTTGAACTTTATCTATTTTTTCGCAAATCAATTCCCCAAGTTCCTTTTGGATCATGTTAGTTTGAACTTTGCCCTCCTGTTTTCGGATGAGATCGGCATCTACACAGGAACATTTAGATATTTTGCCACTATATTTTTGAAAAGTTACAATAGATAGAAAAAACGAAAAATACTTCAACAAGTACGTTTCAATCTAAGTTGTTTGTGCATTAGTGCCAGTGATAATAGTGCAAGCACTTCAATTTTAATAGGCAATAAGGACAAAACAATAATAATGTTATTTTTAAATGCCACTTACCAAGAGTGTTTGGCTTGTTGTCAACGGCCTTCTGATTAGCTGGCTTCATACTGAATGGGCAGCTTCCTGAGTACTTGTAGCTCAGAAAACTATTGGACTGAATGCGATGCTTCCTATAAGAGCTGTGTATTCGTTGTATTCGGTTCGAAGCTGCTTGATTACGCACTTTTCCTGGTACTCTGTATTGTGTTTCACATATTATATCGGAGTCGTTACTTGCTGATTCCTCTGTTTGAGTGTGAGTCTCTTTCAGCAATTTGACCACAGCTACATCTTTATTGCCTGAAATATATTTTTAAGAACGCACATGCTGAATTGTGTACAAAATAGACCACTCTGTATAAACTTTAGTTCACCCTGAGAGGCGCGGTTGTTAAAATTATTTTAAAAAGAACATGTGAACCATACTTACAGCAAATACCATTTTTTCCTTCATAATTGCCTGATGAAATATGTGCCTTGTTCAGATCAAATTCCGGACTTGGCAAATTTCTATGTCTGGCTTGTTCCGGTTGCTCACTTCCACATTCAGGTTCCGGTTTCAAATTTCTTAAAGATTAATATAAGACATACTAAATGAAACGAGTCCAATGGCTACAAGCGCTTACTCATTTGCCACAAATGTCTCTTGAGAATCGTCTAAGTCAATAATTTCCTTAGCTCTACTCATCTCGGATATGCAAGGAGAAATTTCCCTGTTCGAACTTGAATTATTTCCATTAACAATACGGATGCCTGAAGGATTTAATATATCCTTTGTAAGAGAAGTGGCGTCTATTATTAAGTCGCTGTGCACTATTTGATTAATTAAATGGGCATTTTGAGAATCGGCTGTTATAAATGAAGACTCTGATATTTCAATGCCTGATTCCTCCGTTGAGGATGATATAATGTTTAGCGCCTCACTTGTATCGGCATTAGCTGCGCAAAGTTGAGGAACAGTTTGTGAAGCTGCGTCCTGATTTTGCAAGCAAATACTTTGGTGGCCTGCAACTGTAATAATAAAGACACTTCTTCTGTCTCTATTCGAGGAATGTTCAAATAAATGATTATAAAAATTAATAAAGAAATAAAATACCTGAATTGACATTTGATTGACTATAATTGAATGCAGTGCCGCTCAGTAGTTCCAAAGGAAAACTCAACGATACATTCTGGCTAAGATTATTTTGTGATAAGGAACTGTTCTGATCCAGGCCTAGTGCACCAGACACATTTGAATCTGTCATTTGCTTGTGATCGGTCTTGTTTATGAAACCGTTTTCAGAAGTTGAAGCCGAATCAAAAATTTGTTCCGATTGCTTAGATGCTTGTTCACCATTATGCCTACCAGCTTGATCAGGATTTGATGTACGTTGAATTCGACACGGTAAACGCCTTAGTCTATTCACCCGAGAAGTCCTTACATCAACTTTGAAAAAAATCAATATAATTTAATGTATAACTCAAACAGTATTTTTTTAACTTGCTCCTTATGATGACTCACCCGTATCTTTGTATGGCGCGGTTTTCTTTTGTATCGTACGTTTGGGAACATCAGTGCTCATTTGAGAGCACGAATTTTCAATTTTTGGATACTTTGGCATGAATCTAGGAATAAACACTAAAACAACAGCACTGCAAGCGATGGTTTCAATTGTGCTCGAAATATATCACAAAACATGTACTGAAAACCAAGTAGCATGCGGAATATTAAACTTGAAAAACAACATAAAAATACCTGAACATTTTACCTAAACCCAGATATAGTGGAAAGCGCATAAAATAATTGTAGGGCTGCTGACATTATTTTATTTTGAGAAAAACGACTAAATTAATATACTTACCACTGAAAATCGATGACAGATGTGTCAGATTGTCCCAATCTGACAAATGAAAACTTTTACGTAAAGAAGTTCTGGGAATGTTTCAAATGTTTGATATAACAAAAAAATGTGTTTCATTCGTTTGAAACAGAATATTTATTTAATTTCTTTAATAAAAACTTTGTTCCGACTAGACGAAAATCAACATTAGTAACTTTGTAGGAAACATCAACTGGCAACTTACCGATTTTCTCAAGACATACAACTGTCACACTCTTAAATAGAAAATTATTTCCTTATAATAAATTAACATAATTCTAAACTGAAAGCGTTAAACTCTATAAACTAGATTGAAAAACCGCTTCTTCGCGTCGACTGACCTTTAAATGACGCATGAATTGACGTTTAAACTCATGGTAAACTTGATCTCTCTGTGATATTTGTATACCATTTGATGCAGTACAGATTGCTTGTTTATCGGCAACTGACCGCGCCCAGAGAACTACTTCTAAATTATTCCAGGATATTTAATTTTTCGCATATTGTAAACGAAGCGAATCTTCTTCCTAGTAATCTATTTGTCTAAATATTTTCCACTAATAATAATAATAATACTTTGTTTGTCATGTATGTCTAGAAGATTATTTTTAAATAGAAAATTATATACAAAAGTTTTATATTGTGATAATTACAATGTAAAACATACAATCAACGTATTGAGCAAAATATGATACACATGGGAAAAGTCAGATCAACCGATAGTCAGCCAGTCGATATAAAGTAAGTGAAATATGGGTGCAATTGAAAGTGTGCTCGCGAAAATTTTACAAAGCGCTCGTTGATGCACCCTTAACGGACGACTGTACAAAATATACGTTTGATAAGAAAAGTCAGTCATTAACTCTATTCTCAAACCATTGTTAATTCAACTCATTCCATTTAAAAATATTAACAAATAAACGGTTTAACGGGTAAAACTACTAGTTTTTCAATACTAACATCGTCTTTTAGAATTGCAACGCCATTAAACCTACTTTTAATATCTAAGTGTAATTTTACAACCATGGATGCCAAGCCGGATCCATCCTACATAAATTATCTGGGCTACTGGCCGCTGCTACCAAAGTAGCCACCTATAAGAAATTAAATTTACTTGCAAATGCACGGGCAGTTTAAAATGAAACAGTTTTAAAAGTGCGATCTTACCTTACTATCAGTGGCGTCAAATTGCGCTAAGCTATTCAGTCTATTAGAAATGGAGGTCACAGCCCGTCCTACGACGTTTCTTATCCGTTCCGCTTCAGACACCCCCTCCTGATTGGTACTGGCATCACTTTTCTTCGGTTTGGGAGGGTTCACTTCATCACGAATAATTGGCTTTAATATATTTAAAACCTGAAAGGGAAATTATTTAGTAAATTAGCTACAGTTTTTTATTTTTAAAATGAATAACTCTATTAGAGTGGATAATTAAGCATCTACATGTACAAATTCAGAATATTCCATATAATAGAAAATAATAATAAACCGGAAACCCTCGATTCACAGACTGTAAATATTGTTGTTTCCTAATCAGTTTGTATTGCATGGGGCTTTTGCTCTAAAGGAAGTCCCAACGTTTAAAATAATTATTATTTCTAATCATCGCCTAATTATTAAAAAAAAGTAATATGCATATTTTCCAGATTGGACTATGAGTTTTTCGATCGATAACGAAACGGATAGATTCAGCTGAGATTCGTACTAGGAAGGGAACTCTGTCCTTGCAAATTGGGGAGCTTATTTTCAAAACGCAATTGCTAAAAGTTAATTTTATTTGCAGAATTACGCTTTTTCTAAATCTAGCAAAAAAATGGAAATATGAATTCATTTTCGGTGCCAAGAGGAACTTTGGGAACGTGACTATAAAATCCAATGAAAAATTTTGCTAAAAAAATTGGATTATAGTTAGAAAGAAAATGCGTTCGAAAGTAAAATTGTATTTTATAGCGTTTTGAAAAGAAATTTAAGGACTTATTGCTTTTTGAAAAAAAATCTGAAATATTGTGTTTTTTTATTTCTAAGAAAACTTACTCTAGACTTCATACGTTAGAAAAAAACACTTCACTACACTTTCACCCTGCAATCTTCTTCATTGCAGTCACATTCGATCTCTTTATCGGAAATATTCCCTTCTTCATCGATTGGATTTGTGGAACTGCCATTTTCAATATCTAACAAGTTTTTGTAGAATACCAGGCGCTGATCATTTTTTCCAGTCTTCGTCGTATAAATTTAACAAACTTTCAATATTTTCTACTTTTAAATCCTTTACTTTATGGTTTAACAGTAACAGATTCATTTTGACATTCCCCATTTGCACTCCTTTTTTCATAATAGTCGTAAACATTTTTGAGATGTCTTCATTTCGGTAATATTCTTCCATTTTTACTTCTATTGTTGTATTTTTTTCTCTTTTAATAAAAACCCTTTTCAGTTGACTAATTCCCATTAGCTTTTTGCAATTAACGTCGCTCATTTTCTTAAGGTAATAAAGGTTCCAGTCTATTCCAAGCTTTCTTACTGTTCCAACTGCTTCCAACAACTTTTCGTAATCTTCTTTTTGTAAAACCTGACTTTGTTTTCCTCACTTGTAAACCTCAATTTTAGAATAACTAATTTACCTCACTTCTTTGTGCCTTTCCCTTCTATTTTTCGTGTCGTTTTTCTTCTTCCTTGTTCCTTGATTCTTCTCAGACACAATAGCAGTGTCTATGTAATTCTCCATTGTCTCCATTTCCAAAAACTATTTCGCAGCACACCGTACGTAACAATGAAAACACGAAGTCTTTGCAGATATTGCGTTTTGAAAAAAAACCACTAAAATTGCTGGGCGTTTTACATGGCAGAAATAGCTATTTAACTAGAAATTCAAGTGGCAATCGAAAGAAATGTGCGCTGCGAGTGGATCTCTAACTCAGTAGCAAAATTTTTTGCAGAAATTGCGTTTTGAAAATAAGCTCCTCAATTGGACAGGTTGACGAATACTTTAGGGTAGTTCTAGCTACAATTCGCTCACTCGGTACATCTCCTCTTACTTGCCAAGGAAACGAAAACAATCGAAAAAAAAATACAAAATGACCTCAGGCTCGCCTGCCGTACAACCACTTTTCACACCGGCTTAATCTCGCCGCGACGAGAGGCTGAGATGATCAGAAAACATCAAAAAAAGGTTTTCTTTTGCCCCGACAAACGCGAAAGGTTCGCAATTGGAGCCAAGTTTTCGCAGCGATAAAGTTTTGCTCTATCTACGCACGCCAAATTCACGTGAATATCAATACCAACGGTTTTAGCATGGTTTAGTACAAAAATGAATGTTGCGCCTGACGAAGAAGAAGTAAGATTTCTGGCTTTAGACGATGAAAAATGCAAGGTCTACAAAACTCCAGATGCGATTTTAACAGAACACAACGTATCATAAAATACCGTATACTTTAGTATCAAACTAAACTGCAAAAATCATAACTTCCGGCAATAGAAAAATGGCACTTGCACAGTCGAACACAGTGAAAAAGTTGTTTTTACCCACATCAAATCACTTTAATTGAAGGTTTACCTTACTCGAATTGCTTGCCAAGCAAGCCAAGTAATTAGAACATCTCGTTTCTCCAGACGCAACAGATTTTTTTTTCAACTCTGATCAAAGATGAATTTCGTTTGCACTTACTTTGAAATTAGGATACACCAAACATCTTGCAGTGGCAATCATGGAAGCCGTTAGGGGCCCAGTCACTCCAATTGTTGCCAAATATTCTATTATATTAGGAGTCAGGCGGAATGGCACTGGCCTGGTTTGATCCAGCTCGCCTAAACACATGCAAATAGAAAATCGATGCGAAAATCGATCGAAATCAATCGAAATCAATCGATGCTCACCTGTGCTTTCATCAACATCAAATTTAAAATATGCTACATTCATGAGGCCAGAATCTTGATGCAAATACATCATATCGGGGTTAAGTCTAGTCAAATGGAAAACATATTCAGCGAAACAAGCCAATGCAAGCTGAAGGGTAAACTGGAACAAATGTATTCGTTATATACTATTATTTTAAATCACAAATCCAAAACCTACAATTTTCCTAAAATGCCAATAGTCTGTCGCAGATGGGAACGTCTGTATGGCCCATTTCTTGAACACCGTCCGTGGTACCATCGTGTCCTGAATGCTTCTAAAAATATCTCTGTAGACTTGATGACTAACTTTGCCCACTCTCAACTGAACTACGGCCAGTCTTTCATAGTAATACTGAATTGGGTCTTCATGATCAATGCCTATTGAACAAATGTCGAAAAAATATATAAATCACCTCAAGTACACAATAAAGCTGAGTTACCTTGCTTTCCTAATTTAGCGCATTGCTTCTTGAATATGTCCAAATATGATATTGAAGTTAGATTGTCTTCAACTAGTCGTATTTGTTGAGTGACCGCTATGACTCGAGGAACAGTAAAATGCAGAAATCGTCGGGCTGTTTCCTTAAAACAACATGATATACTATAATAATGTTGATACGTTCTGTATGGCATAAAATTTCCAAAAAATCATCACAAAAATGTTTTTGGGTCAAATTGTTCTATTTGGTTGAGGCGGATTAATGTTTTCAAAACCTTTTTCTTTATTATCAGAAACTAATCAAGTCATCAATGTAAGAGACAAATTGCATTTAGTAATGATTTTAGAAAAGTTATCTTAAACCTAAAAATAGTATATTGATAAATCGTTTAACAAGGCTAAATGAATACAAATCTGTAAAAAATCCCTACATCTTCGTTTTCGGTTCTTACAGATTTTTATTAATTTAGCCTTGTTAAACGATTTATTGCCACTCTTTTTAGGTCTGTCTTCAGAACTATACCTTTTGATAAATAATTTGTTTCCGATTGTGAAATAAAATCACTCTTTATCAATCTGTAATAGAACACGTGAGGATTATGGAAGGAATTCTATCTTTTTAAGACATACATTTTGAGGCAAAATACCCAATAGAAAGCCAAGAAAATTGATGCAGGAAACAAATAATTAATATTTTTAATAGGCCAGGAAAATTACGACAAAATCGTTCAAATATGGCTCTAACGTGACGCAACTTATATAACTATTGGAATCGCTCGAGAATGATATTATTGCGAATGGAATTGAAAATATTGAAGTGCGGCAGCTTGGAAAGGTGTGCAATTTGCATAAACAAAAAAAAATCGAAAATCGCGTGTTTTTCAGAAACAATCGCATATAACTCGGTAAGTACGCATTCGTTATGCAATTTTCTACAACACAGAGTTGGTCCGATATCCGCAGATTTGAAATGTTCGCTTTAAAATGCTCGAAAGTACAAAAAAATACTTTCCGATTTTTGGAAATGACTTACTTTTTGCTTTCTTAAAAACATGTTCATCATGCGTAGCATTTGCAAAACCCTCTCTTCCCTTCTAGAATCTCCAAATGCACATCCGTTTACGACCAAATATGTGTAAACTTTACCATTGTGGCCTCTAAAAATTCAAAGATTGATTATTAACATGCCCAATATCAAATTTTGTTCGGTATATTCACCTTATATATATTCTTCTTGCAGAAGCATTGTGCTTCTGAACGACGTCAACACGCGGCATAAATCGGGCAATACGAACAAAATAATGGTTATGCTTCGGAAGCAAAAATTCACCTGGCAGCTCAATTTCAGCAGTTTTCAATGTAAAGTTTGCCAGAAATCGACATTTTTCTTCGATCAGAAAACATCTGGAAGTACAAGTTTTAGTTAAACGTCCTTGTTGTGATCGTGGCAAATACGAATATACTTACTGTAACATCGTTTTTGAGCGGTTTTCCAGGATTTTTATCCATTTTTTCAGCTTGGAAATTAACGTGTGCAATTTCATTTTCTTTGACTGCGAAAAATCAAAATCCTTCTTGAATTCTTCTTTCATTTCTTTAAATACCGGATCTTGATATGTGGCTTCGGCTCTCCTATTAATAAAACAATATGCTTAGAACAGAGAACAGTATTATGACAGTATTCATTACATTGCCAAACTTTCCGAAGCGGCCGAATTGAAGGAGGTGGCTTTTACAGAACTGGAGATATTTTCCACACCTATTCCAAATGTGGACACCAATTTATTAACAAAGTTCAAAATATGTGGAGCCGCTATAACTTCTTTTACAGATTCACGATTTTCGAAAGCGATGGCATAACATTTGGTTAATCCTTGACGGAGTTGCCTCAAGACCTAAACAAATACACACAAATAACACACTTCTTATTCAAGACATGCTCAAGTCTTACCTCTTCGTGCCAATTTTCCCTAAACCACTCCATTTGAACCGCAATGCCTTCTAAGCTCGTTAGTACTGTTGTATGCAAACTACGCAACAAGTTCATAATTTTTACACAATTTACCATAGATGGTGGAGCCTTAACAGACGCAACTTCAACAGTGTCTCCAGGTTGGCCGTTGCCTTCTTGGTTTCCTTGAAATATTATTAGTATTAAAATGCAGCCCACTACAACACAGTCACGAGTATTAACGAAATATCGATATAAATCGGCTTAAACGTTTTTAGGGCTTATAAGTCGCAGACCGTTTCAATTGCTTCCTGACGTTGCGTTCACATTATCAAAGGTCATGAGGTAACGGTTGAGTTGTCTTCCGTGTCTCTCTCTGATTTTTTGCTCGAAAATGAAGCTTTGTCGCAACAAATGTTGAATGTCTGGCAGGTCAAAAGGTATTTAGTAGTGAACTTTTCCAATTCCTGAGATGGTGTGGGCGAAATGGCAAAATATATCGTTTGAAAATAATCGCTCATATGCTCAAAACTAAAGACGATTGAGGGATTGTGAGCAAGTTATTTGATAAAGATTACAAAAACCCACAAAAAAGTTGGTATTCACGTTTTGTTTAAAGTGACTGCCAAACGAACTGCCGCAGGTTTTTGAATTCTTTGGCCAAATTAAACGAGAGGCTGCCTCCTTAAAACGCTATTGTGCTCAATAGGCAGTACATCTGTGGCTCAAGAAAATTTCTATGTGAAAGGCCCAGAGCCAATTTTTGTGACAAATACATCAAATTCCACTGGATGTTGATTTCTTATTAGGTATTTATTATACTTTAATGTAGTTGACTCATGACCCCCTCTTGTGCTGGGTTTTTGTCGACAAACGATAATTTTTCTAATTTCATAGAGAACAAAATATTGAATTTCTACTACATGACCTCTCCCCCAACTTGAAAGCTGGTTCCGCCGCTGCTTAATGTATTAAATTCAAATCTCGTTTTCTGGGTCAAAACTACTCGAATGTCCACAGTCATCTTGTCATGACTGAATCGAATTTTAAATTCTCCATCTAACAATGCCGAAACCAATTCTGTGGCTCAAATAGTTCTGGAGAAACTTCGAAAAAATCAGCGTCATGTTTGAGTCGATGTAATGTATGTAAAAATGAGCGTTCTTGTTCATTTTTCTTCCGAGAAATGAGCGAAAACGGGCCGGAAAACATAAAAATGATGCTCTTGGTAAAATGGTAATTTTTCCAGAGTCATCTCCTAATCTTTAAAGAGATAGAAGCATTTAATGATTACTTCAAGACTCTTTAATCGTTTCTATATAGGCGTCAGGTAATTCAAAAAACGCAAATTTCGATTTATCAGCACACCTAAAAACAAATAGCTGAAAATCTAGATGAACATCCACGCTTCCAAGAACTTGTCCCATAAAGTATCGGTTGAGCTGTTATAATCCTTTTAAAACCATCAAGTTATTTGACCAATTTAAAAAAATTACACTTACCCTGTTGACTATCCCCCTTTTGTATCTCTTGAGAAACCTGCTGGGCCGTATTAGTTTTTCTAGCGGTCGCCGCCCGAAATGTCAAGTATAACTGACGAACTGGAAAATACACCGCTTGTGGAAACATTCTGCCCGCCTAGACATACAGAAAGAAACATCTTTTTAGTTTATATTACTTTCAAGTTAGGCGCGATTTATTTTTTACCTGGCACAATAAGTTTAAGATGACATTTCCTTTAAATTGTACCAAGAAGTTTAATAATTGCGACGTCCATGGTAGCCACAAGAGTGGCGGTACTCCTACCGCGTACTTGTCAAGTGCTTCAAGCAAAGTACTCTTGTCGTCTTCATAGTTGAGTAGCCACAGAACTTTGGCTATATATTTACGGCCTTTCGCTTCGTTTTGATGGCGACAGGCGTGAAGGAAACATACCATTGCATTGACACCCATGCTCATCTACATATAATATTAGATTATTCTTTGTATAGATGCATTAATTGCACTTTGCTACCTGTCGTGGATCTTTCAAGAAGACGCTTTCTAGATAGTCCCCATAAAGTGCCCAGGCCTTTATGGAGGCGTCGTGTAACTGTACTGCCGCCGATAAAGTTTTATTGGCCTCTTCTGATTCTCCACTAAGATGATACATCAGACCTTTGAGTGCATAGAACTCGGATGTCATTTCTTTTGCGAAATACTCCATTTTTGTATGATTAATCACCTCCAATCCTAAATATACAATTATGTTACTAATAAAAATAAATCCTACAAATAATACTGAAAACATTTCAATTGGGCTCAATTTGATCATCTGCTGTTTGAAGCAAATAAAAATTATGTAAGCTTTATTGTTACCTTCTTGTAATTCATTTCTGTTATTCATGCTGGCCATTTGGAGGTAGCATTTCACCTGCTGTCTGACTTTTTGATAGCAGTCAACAACGGGAACGCTTGGTATACTGTATATCTTATTCAGAGAGTCCAAGCAAACACCGGCTAACTTCTGTTTACGAGCGATCTTTCCGAAATGAATAATCGACTGCGCGGAAGCGTGCATCCCTTAAAACAAGACATGATTAATAAATAAGGTAATACAATGCCCGTGGAATTTATGGGCATTTTTTTTAAGCAAAAATAAATTCAAAAATGATTAGTAACACCTACATATACCTATTTTGGTGCTAGACATTGTCGTATCACGATGTTTTTCGTGATACTTTACTATTAATTGATAATGCTGCTGCCGCCAAGCAAATATATCGCTCCAATGCACTAAATCATCCGCAATGACTGGCAACCGATTGCGCCAAGTCTTCACTATGGCTTTTAAATCATGAAGCGATGTTGGGTTGACACCACCTGGTTAGTTAGTAAAAATATTAACAAATTTATTTTTTAATATAAAACACCAACTAAATTTACCCTGCAATAGACACTTATGGATTTGGTAAGCTTCCTGTAGCTCCATAATTTGTTGAGCAGCTTGTAGATATTGCAGGTGTATATGACTGACGATGTGAGGCAAACGCCGCCACTCATTTAAACATGAGTTGCTGGCATTTTCCACATACCTGCAATATACGGTTTAAGTTAAATCAATAGATAAATCGTGGATTTTCGAAACAATTAGACTTAATTATGTGGTGGCAATTTTGTAGGAAATGGCGGTCCGATGCAAGGGCGGATTCAGGGGGTCATGGTAGTCATCACACCTCCTTGTGCTGGGTTTATGTCAACTAACTATAAGTTTTCTAATTTCATAGACAATAAACGATTGAATTTCTACTACATGACCCCCCCCTTGACTTGAAAGCTGGATCTGCCGCTGCTCAATGTATGAAATTCAAATTTCGCTTTCTGGGTTAAAACTACTCGAATTTTCTCACTCGTGTTGTTAAGATTGAATCGAATTTTAAATTCTCTACTCAACGATGTTAAAACCAATTCTGTGGCTCAAATGGGGCTTGGGAAACATTGAATAAAACGGCGTCACGTTTGGGTTGATTTTGCAGCTCAAAAAAAAACACGCAAAATTTAAAACTTCTTGAAATCAAGACTTTTTGAGATAACTGCCAACATTTCTTTATCGGCGGTTCACTTTCTAAAAAGGTAATTTAGTTCTCTCTGAAATGATGTAAAAATGAGCATTCGTGTTTATTTTGCTTCCGAGGAACTAGCAAAAACCGGACGGAAAATGTGAAATTTTGGAATATTGAAATTTCGCTTTCTGGGTTAAAACTCCTCGAATTTCCTCAGTCATGCTGTTATGACTGAATCGAACTTTCAATTCCCCATCAATTCGCTAAGTATTGTAAAGCAAAAATAATTCTTGAATTCTCAGCTTAATCTCAGGTACATGAGTGTCTCTCTTTTCAACAAACATCTCACCTTTCAACATACAACAACGGCTTACTCTCTTCTGGTTGACAAATGCATAGAAAGCCTCCATAAAGAGTAGCTTTCCACGCAGTATCCTTATTGGAAACAAAATCCACGTTAACTAGTGCCTCTTTCATCAATTCCCAGTTGGGTTTAGAAGTACGCCAGGCGGACTAAAATACGAGCCAAATCAACGATGGGACAACAGTTTTCAACTAAAAAGCTTTCAGCGTAAAGAGCACAAGCAAAACTCACGTCTAATTGCAGCATCGGATCATTTACTCCCAGTTGGGCATGTTCTGATAAAATATCCCACATCTGCAGTTCTTTTGCGCATCTTATCCATTGATTGTTCCATAATAGGATTTCACGTTGATGTTCAGCTGGAACGGGTCCGAGGGCCAAGTCGCCTGGAAAGAAATAACATTGAAATTTGTATAGCTGCTGTGCATTTCCACAAGTTCGTTACTTTTAAATTTATCCATTGCAGCCTCGTATTGGCCTTGGGCTTTTTCGAAAAAGCCATGTTGTTCATAGGTAATTGCTATACTGGTTTCTCTATAATGGGCATGCTTTTGCCATAAACCGGCCCACAAGTCTTCTTCGCACATCTGATGATACAAATCTCCTAATGAATCTAATAGTTCACCCTAAAAATGGATGCCCTTAATAAGTCAGGTCATTTCAGACAGCTAAATAGAGCTCACCTGCTCTCCATCGACCTCATAATAGTTGCCACCACCAACAGATTTCATTGATGGATCAAATGCTTGTTGCTCCATTTCAAGGGCCATTCTGTGCCAGAGATTGTGATGTTTTGCAATATACTTCATGGTAGCTGGTGGTATGTACACTTGTGGCTTGCATCTGTAAATAACAGTTGATTGTTGCAAATATTTATAACACTTAATTCATATGTTTATATAAAAATAACAATCAGATGCTTTGTAATGGGGCCTCTAAATTGAAATTGAGGCAAATGTCTAATATATTTCAATTATAAACCAGTATATTTTACCTAAACAAAGCCTCAACAAAAGTGTTGAGGGCACTCGGCTGACAATCTTTTTGACCACTGTGTGCACCCGAGGTAATGAAAGCGATTATTCTCTTTGAAATAGCAACTCGTTCTTCTTCGTCCAGAATACTCCATAACTGAGGAAACAGACTAAGCCACACTTGCTCAGCTAAATTGGTATCTATGTGACAAAGCTGAGCGGCTGCCAACAGAAATTGCTCTGTGGTGATGTTTCGTGATACCTAAAAAGAAACGAATTAGAAAAGAAATTAACTAAATGGGGCGAAATTGGTGTCGAGTACTTGGAAAAAGTTCAGCTAATGGAAATCCTATTCACTTTGGCATTTTTCCTGGTGCTACATATGATTGGTGTATATTTAGTTCATAGCTTACTTACCTCGATGAATTCAAAATGTTTATTGATCATTTTGGTGATTGTCTCCGCTCTACTTAATGGCTTTTCATCGGGTTGTGTTTCAACAGATTCCATGTCGATTACCTTTAAGCAACACTTTTTTTATGTAACAGGCCAGGAAATGTTAAAGTTACTACTCACCTCCTCTTTAATTTCAGTACAATCGTAGAACTTTACATTTTCGGGATTCGTTTCTTGAAATTCGGTGCGTTTTTCCTGTTTAATTACTGACGTAATACTAGGCAAAATACTACTCTGATGGGCCATTTCAATTCCTATGGATGGTGCCACAGTTACCTACACAAAATCTCCTGAGTAAATAATATAACAAAGACTAACTACTTATTACTCTTTGAATATCAATAATATAATATTTTAATTGAGATTGACCTCCCGCAGAATACTGAATGCAATGGTCTAATTTTGAGACAACTTTCTTAAAATTAGCCAATACGCGCAATAAAACCAAAAGATGTACTCACCAGAAGTAGTTCGATGATTTGTTTGATCCAGTAATGTGGCCCGATTGGTTCCCAGCTTTGAGAACACACAATATAAAGTAATCGATCGTATAGACGACGCTTCATCGACGAATCCAGTATCTATGAATATTTGGATGTAAACGCTTGAATGTTAGAAGCAGTCAATTCGCTTGCCTTGAAAAACTTTGCTCGAATGTGTGGTTGAGTGCATCTCAGACCGGCTAAGAACGCTTGCTCCAACTTAGAAGCCAATTCAGTTGATTTTAAAGTATCGTTCATGTATACATAGCTGACGAGTTCCAAAAACTGAGCATTCAATTCGGTTTCATCAGGGAAACGTTTTTCCACATATTGGGTAAGTTTCACTAATAAAATTGACCTTTCTCGGAAGCTGGGCGCTGGATTGACTCCACCTATATCTTTGCTTTTCATCCATTCCTCTATCATTTTTGTAACAGCTTTCATCACCTAAAATAAATTGATGAGTGCGTTTATAACTATTAGGAAATCAAATTGAGAGAAAAACGATAACATAAACAATTGAGCTGCTCAAGTTATTCATCTACTCAGATGGAACAATTAAGACCATTTTGAGTCTCTGACAGACGCAAAGGAAAATCATTTAAAGGTTTTATGGGTATTTTTCGGTTGCACGTTTATATATGTATGTGCGTTAGGTTCGCCACGAAAAAAACAACAAATTTTGCGAGATTGGAATAGATTCTGCGATTAATTTCACGCACATTATAATACACACAACACGAGCAAAACTCATTTAATGAGTGCATTTGTTTAACTTGACGTAGGCCTGGGTAACACGGTGTGAAGTGGCGCTTTTGAGTTGATGCCGCTCTGTGAGTTATAATTCATCGTGCCGTCGAATTACGCTTGTGGCGGAATAATTCTTGAAATCAGAACTTTTAAAGAACATTTTTAATTAGCTGAAGGTTTCTAACATCGACCGGAAATTGAGCAACAGTTTCATTTTTAAGTGATTTCTTTATGGATTTTTTGTTTAGTAATTTTGTTTGAATAACAGAATTAGTTGAGGCCTGTGTGATAATTCTCTTAAATAATTGAAAGTGTGCTTGTTTTTTTTTGTTAAAAAAAAGTCAAGTCAAGAGTTTTAGTTTGGCCTGTTTTTTGTTGCAGTTGCGTAAAAGTGTTAATTTTTGAAGATATTTTGACGACATTCAGAGTGCAGCCTTCTTTACTGAACGCACAACTCTGAACTTGTAAGTATTTTTCGTTTCTGAGAAATTTATTTTCGAAAAACGCGATGCAAAATTTGTCCCGCAACAATTTTTTTCAAATATTAAACAAAATTTCCTTAGCAATGAGTGAAATTCGAAATTTTGATGTCATCCAGAGCCTGTAGACTCTGAACCTGTAGAGTATTTTTCGTTATAACTCATCGCGTCTCACTGTGCTGCACTTTGAGTTGCGCTTAGCATTTAACCTGTAGACGAATTAAAGCTTTACGAGGCCCGAGGCTGGAATTTCAACACCTAACAAAAAAAAGGTCACCACATTTTTAGGAGCAACATTTTAAACTCCTGAAAATTAAGGTACCCTTGCCTACCTTGACGTTTTGTGTTTTCTCCATCAAACCTACTAGTATAGATCCTATAAATGATTTTCTCATTTCCAAACTCATAACTTCAGTTCTATTTTTCACCAAATCCAGGCAAAGGATAAGTACATCCACGGTACGAGAAACATATTCTTGAGACGTGGGCTGTAAATGCTCCTTAGCCACTTGGTGCAACACTCTCATAAACGTTAACAGCATAGTGTCAATATACGTGGGACGATTTATGCAAGCGGCTTTCAGGATCATCACGGTGCCGAAAAGAGCTGAAATTAAGTAATAAGGTTGTGGCTGCAACTAATATTGCTTGTGGTCTTACCCATAGGCGATTTGATCTCTTCGTACTTATTTAGGCTCTTTAGGATTTCGTCATTGATTCTACTGTAAAACACGTTGAGCTCATCGATTTTGTTGACTCTTTCCAATGGGAACAGCTGAAACAGGTTTACCAACAAACTGTGCATCATTTGGATGATCTTTTCATCGGAAGTTACAATACATGCTGCCAGTCCTTCCTGTAATTAATCGTTATGTACAATAGGAATTATTTACACACTTACTATGCACAGTGACTGAAAATTGTCGACATTTTTTTGGTTGCAGATGCTTTAGTGAACAGAAGAGAGTTTACACTGCTTCGTAAGAAGATCTGTTTAAGAAATTTCAAACGGTAGAAGTTAAATATGTTTATTTTTCAGAAAAATGTCCAAATTTACGTGTTGAGTAAAGCACTTGGACAGCAGCCACGCAAACTGACTTTGCTTTGTATAAGGTTTCTGAGCAAACGATGGAAAATAATGGATAGACTCCATAAATACTTAAACATTCAGTATGGTTAATGAAAAAGTAAAAATTACATTTTCATTACTTCCTCGTCTCACCTAATTCAGCACAATTACTTGTTTCAAAAAAATGTCTTCGCTTTTAAATCAGTAAAAGTACCTGCAAATGTTTATATTGATCCAAAATCTGTTCTCTTCTCAAGGCAGATAACAGGAACGTCAACAATTCTAAAGCGGTGCAAATGTTCGAAGAATTGTAATTGGCTGACCCCACAGACAGTAATATTTTATTGAAAAAGCCCAAATTAAGATCCACTGGCACTTGCCATAGTTCCGGCTTTAAGGCGCTTTTCAGGAGAAGTATGCAGCGGCGCGATAGCAATTCGGCCGGACTTGTGTTGGCGGGTGTAACTGGATTTTGAGGCGCCATTTCGCTCACCTAAAATTTACGATTTTGACTTGAAAAAAATCATCGAACGGATGTGGCCAAATACTGACCTGACAAGCCAATCGCAACAAAAAATTTAAAACTGTATCAGTATGGCGTTTATCTATATGTTCTGGAACTGACGGGTCTGTAGATTTAATAGGAGTAGGAATCGGTCCTCCAGAAGAAGCCAATGCAAGTTTCTTTCTATGTGGATCTGTTCTATCAGATCTGTCGTCGCTAATAGATCGCCGTAGTCCCGTTTCAACTTGATTCTTAAAGAACTTTTTGGTTTTAGCAATGTTACAAGATACGCCATCGCCAGGCGAGTTTTCCTCCTTGATTCCGCATAGCTCCCATTTGATAATCACTTCCGCTAGTTCGACCGCCAATTTCCTGTGGTCAAGACTAGGCTGAGCACTGAAACCCAGCCGTTGTATGGAATTTACCATATTCTGAACTAAATCGTGACGCACTGGATAGTACACCTAAACCAAAACAAAAAAAAACAATTGAATCATTCTATCATATCTCATAGTTTACCTTGTAATGTTTTACGACAAGCTGTAAAATGTGAAACAATTGCTGTATGGAATGTCCTTCATCAGTTAAAATTTTCTTAGTCCAGTGGGTTAACATGTCATACCCTAGAAAGTTTATTTCTGCAGTTTCTGTCTACTACAATTTTTTTAGACAATCTACTTACCATTTTCCATTCTAAATGGCATGGAAGGAGTCAGAATTTCTAAAGCTTGCCGTACAACTGTGCGGGCCTCTGCTGCGTGAGCTTTTAGCAGGGAATGGAATACCTGAAGCACGATTTTCCGATTAATGGCAAACTTAGCTATTATGTGAGAAAGCAGCAGATGGCCGTGGTATCTGCAAAATACAGACATTAGATGTAAAACACCTGCCAATGTGTAATTCAATTAATTACAACCTTGTTGCTGGATCTACACAGTTTCCAACAGACAAACATGGCCACGCGAAAGTCATCAATCGCCGCAATTTGTAGCCCTGAGCTTTATTGTTAGGGTCATGATCGTGAATATGTGGACTGGCCTGTTCCACTAACAGACAAGCAAACTGGAGTAGTGAAATTCTAACACAATCGGCCTGCGGGAACGGACTATCTGGATCGATAAGTTTGGTGATAGAAACTGACACCACATTTTCACTATTATCCTATAAACCAAAGTATACACATCAAATAGAAACAAATTCTTTTTTGGCTCTATAATATGGCTACCTGATATGGCGCTGGTGGCCCTCCTATCAATTTGTTTGTTTCACCGCGCTCAAAACTAACACTGAAGCATGGAATCAAGATCAACTGTAACACCTGAAAATCGATCGAACGACAATTAGTAGAAAACGTTTATTTCACTACGTTGTAATTGAAATAGAACTAATAAAGTTATTTTCTTCTGAAAAATATTACCTTAGCTTTTAATTCTTGACTCATTTCAGTGCTCGAAAATAGTTCGACAAATCTGAAAAATGCAGCTCTCTTCCACTCAACAGTATAATTTTTCGCTACAGTATTTTCCAGGAAATCCTTCAGAAACTGAAATTAGGAAACAAATAGTTCAGATTAATGAATGCTGTTTTCAGATTTTTGCTCCTAACATTTTTAATGTTAGGACTTTTTAATGGAACCTTTTTTTCAAAGGGAGATACCCCCTTTGCAGGGTCCTTACGACCGATCGAATATTTTTAACTGTATGAGCTCAATGCTTATATGCTCGCTTATAATTTTCTCAAAGATTTGTTGGCCGAAATGCGAATTCGGTTTTCGGTCCCATTTTTTCCCCAGAATCTTGGAATAGAAACTATGTCTTTAAATAAAGTGCATATCAAAATTTGTAATTTACTCAAGTAATTTGCAATAAAAAACCCTTTAATAAATAAATAATAATCACAATTAAAAGTATTTTGAATAAATCCAGAAAAGAAAATTTAAAAATTGAACCAATCCACCACTTACTTGATAATTGGGAATGGATCTTTCAATAAGAGCCCTCAATAACTGGAACAATAAATCAACGTCGTTCGGGTAATGGCAAAAATAATGGAGCAGAATCTTAACCAGTAACTTTGGTTCCTTCCAATGAGTGTAGTCCATTGCTTGTACATTTTTGTGCCGCTCCTGTTAAGTATCAATTATTTTATTTGTCAAACAGAAGAAAAGTTTTCAGTATTTATCAGTCATATATTTTCAAAGAAAAAGTGGTTGAATCAAGAAAGTGTGATCGGTTTAACACCAGCTATTAACACGACTATTTTCAACTACTATAAAGGGGGAGTTAAACTAATAAAAAACTATAAAATCATGACTGTTTCATAATAATATAACATTAATTGTACCAAAAGTACTATCAAGAATTGAACAGGCCAGGAGGACGTTTATGGACATAAAGAACTTCTTTATTAGGCGTGACTTAGACTTGGGTCTTAGAATCCGGCTGCGAAAGCTGGACCTTCAACCCCTCAAGCTAGAAAAATTTATTGAATCATTCGAAATGTATTTTTAATATGTATGTAATTCTCCTGGCCCAAAGACCTACGCGGATGGTTCAGTAAAACATCATCCGAAATCTTCAGAGCAGCTGTGTCACGAGTATAATAAGAAACGGCACAATAAGATGAAATTGTACCAACAAAATTAAAGTAGCTCACGAAAGTCCTCATTTGCCACCTTCTGAATAATCCTGCATACGGTTACGGTACTTTCTAGAGGGGTGCGTAAAGTATCACCAACCATAGTTTTGTTTCACTTACCAAATATCCATCGTCACACCAGATTTGCTTCAACGCTTGCACTAAATCCTGTTGGGATGCCAACCATTGGTCTTCGAACTTGATTAGCAACGATATTATTCGGATGCTTTGAAATTGCAGCTCATTCCTTTGGCAATCACTGCGTTCCTGTATGCCTAGATTTATGCTCACATAGTTGGATTGAGCCAAAATAATCAAACGTCTCACCATATGCTGTTGAATATAATCCCTACATTTGAAAACAGATGCAATTCAGATTTTGATTATTAATATATTTTAATTAACATAACGTACCTGAAAATTTTGCCGTCTTTATGCTTAATCATAAACACCAAATATCGACTGTAAGATTTCTCTTTAATAAAATTATCGTCTAGCAGAAGGTTGAGAGTTTCGGATGGATATTTTAATAGAAATTTCATCAAAGGTTCCCTAAACGTACTACTAGGTTCTGAAGAATCAATAAAACCGGCATTATATTGCATGTTTCCGAAAACAGTGAACATAACTTACCAATGGAAATTGCTTGTTCGCTTTGTATTATCAGCTGAATGAGTTTTAAAACGTACTGGCTAGATGCAGCTGGTGTTTGGTGGAAAATGTTTATAATCGTTGCCACTTTTTCTTCCATTTCGAACTTAGTTGTGCGTCCAACTCCAGACTCTGCAAGCTGTTGATGTAGCAACAATGTATCAATAGCGAGTTCCCATTTTTTACCTTGAGCCGCTTTATACGCTGCAGTTAATTTGCCCAATAAACTTTCTAAAATGATGTATAACTGGCTACATAAAAGCTCCTCATTGAATCCATTTGGAAACAGCTGTGTCAAATAAGACAGCATTTTTACTCCATTCAAAGTAACAACTTTTTCGTCTCCTAAGGTAAGCAGTAAAGGCCGTATCATGGGGCTAAATATTTCCTTGTCTATCTGGTGACCTGCAATGAAGGTTTTCATACATTCAAACGCTGTTTCTTGAAGTTCAGCATTCGATTTTTCTAAGGCCTTGTACAGCACCTGTAAAGTTATTGTTAGTACTATTGATTATTGCAAAAATAACGAGCTTGTTACCTCGAAAATTGCGTCTCTAACTTGGTCTATGTAATAGCACGAAGCTAAAACTTTGATAGCACTTTGGCGCAGGGGGTTAAAGTTTGAAATCGACTTGTAACAGAAATAGCTGTTTAGTCTAGTGTCTTCCATTTTGCATAATGATAATAAATCGGTAATAAACATTTTATGCTCGGCAATTTCGAAAGAAAATGTGAAAAGGCGGGGTTGTAGTGTATTGCAAAACATGGTACCTAAAAAAACAACAAACATCATACTGGGTTCACTACGTTTTTTACAACAAAAGTTACCGTCCATAAGCCCCATTTGAACAATAACTGGTTGATGCATCAGTAGATGATTTTTCGGTGGCACCGAATCTGCTAAGATACCTTTAAACGGTTCCATGACTTCTGTTACAGTTTTGTCTTGCTCTTTAGCAATCAGGCGAAGACTAGCCATGGCTTGATCTCGAACCATCTTGTGCGGACTAGTCACCTGACTATATGAACATAATTTAAATAAAAATAGAATAAGGATGCAAACAAAGAAACCCACCGAACCAGCTCATGTGTGATTTTTTTCAAGGCATCTTCTTGCAAGTTTTTCGTCTCAGCATCACTACCTTCAGGTGGCGGGCTTGCAAGAATTATCAGCATTTTCTGGAGATTTTCACGTGCCATATCTAAAGCCCCGCTTGATACTTCACCAGTTAGATCCATCATAACAAAGAGTAATGCTTTAAGGAACGTGTACATATGTTCGTACACCCATTTTATTGCGCACTAAAAACGATTCAGCTGAACCAAAACTGTTATCCATAGGAGCTTTACATACCTTTTCAAACATAAATTTAATGGCTAAGCAACCGCCTAATTTAGCATACCAAGCCCTTTCGTAACACAAACCACACATTTTCTCCGATAGATACTCGATGAGTGGTAGCCGGCAGGCCATTTCTTTGCTACCCAGCAATGTGGTGGCCGTATCAATTATCAGCATCTTGAATAAATAAAATCATATACTGTTTAACAGACACAAATATTACCCAAAGTAAGAGATTTAACTATTCTTATGGCCGTTTGCACCGTAAGGACGTCTTAGCGTTAAGACCGTCTTAACAGACAGCTTTCTTTTGCATCGCTAGTAATTCGTGAGTTAAGGAATCCTTAATTTAGCGGCCATGTCGACGATGGCTTAAGAAGGCTTTAAATTGATTTTTAGCTAACTTTTACGTCGGTGGTGGTTATATCTCTTAGAGAAATTTTACTGTACGCTTTAGACAGTCTTTATGAAAAGACTGATTGTTCAAGACACTTTTTCTCCTTTGAGCTTGAAGTTGTCGTCGGTTGCTTCTTCTGTGAATTACGCAACGTTCTTTTTGAGGAAATAATATGGGGTCGGCCTGAACTTTTACACAAACAACAACACTAGCAGTCTCCCCGAACTTTTTTATATTTTGTTCTTGTTGAGAGATGAAAGGCATGCCTGTCCATCTTCCTGTATGATAGGGAACTGGTATGATACCGTATTTTTCAACTGCAACTGCTTATTATTCACTTAGGATAAAAATTGTGCAAACGGCTATTAAGCTCCAAATATGGCCAGCATTGAGTGTGAACTTACCAAACCAATATGACCTGGTTTGCACAGTTCGCGCTCTTCATGTCCCATTATAACAGCTAAAGCGTCCACCAAAATCAACGGATCTAAATCAATTTGCTTGTTGGGTTCTGGGGTGTAGGCGAAAGCGCCACATTCTTGAGCTACAGCAACCATGGTATAATGTCTTACAAGCAAAACAAACGTCTGCATTGCTGCTTCACGCAGTTCTTTAATAGCCGCCCCGATAATCATCCCTACAACAAAAGGCCAAGTTTACAACTCTGACTGTATCTATCAGTACAATACGGTGAAGAAAACAGATTAGATTCTTAGCGAAAAACCGGGAAACCCAAGAGTGCGGAATCTGCCAATAGAACTCGAGAAATGTGATTGTTCCAATCTGTTCAAAATATGTTTATAAATAAAGGAATCTGATTATTATAAGTAATATAATAGATTAAAATGTAATGTACCTGTTAAAGCCAACTGATGTGTGTCTCGTGCCTGTTTATGAATAGACAAATAGTTTGAACCTTTGATAGTTCTAATTGTTGCAGGATCTTGAAAACTGGGATGCAAGAATAAGTTTATCAAAGTTTGTTTGTTATCACTGAGACCTCTGGATGCGGTAAGGTAGCACTTTATCACTTCCCATGCCTGCTTTCGATAGAATGGATCAGTAGAACTTTGCTTGAGAGCGTTAAATGCTGTCTCCATAACCTAAGGAAACAAGTGATTTCATTACACATGTACATAAGTGAAGTTCAGTGTTAAAAAAATACTTACTGGTGCAACTGGGAATTCTACAGGTTTCAGATAATCATCAAACCTTGCTAATATTGCGGGGGGGTCGAAATCAGATGAAATAAACTCCAATTTTTGAGGTTCAATCATCATTTTTCGGTTTCCACCGCCAAATTTCCCAAGTACTTTAAATGCTACTTGGGCGAGCTTAAACGAATGCATAGTTCAGTTTAATTTTAAAAATTAACCAACTCTAATTATTACCTGGTCATTGTTTCTCAATGTTTTCCATAAGGCTTGCATAAGTTCGGCTCTAACAGGTTGAATGTGTTCATACAGAAAGTCATGCTGTAAATTATCGACGCATAATTCCAGCGTTCGGAGACCTTGGCTAATTAAGGATGGCGACCCGTTTAGAGCAGATACCTGAGATATGGAAATTAATGTAACTGTTTGCGAGTTAACTAGAAACGTATTACCAAGGGATCCATCAACATGGGTAAATAAGGCAATAACGAACTGAGCCTAACAGGCACCGTTAAACAGAGTTCTACAAACAAATCTTTCATGTCTTGTTTGTGCAATCCGCTCTGCAGACGATTCAATCCCTCTAGAAGTTGAGGCAACAATGGCAGAAATTCCTTAGGACAATGAAAATATGTAGCAAAAAAAAGCAAAGGCGTTAAAAAAATACCTGGTAAAGTAAGTTGTGGCTCCCACCACCTATTGAACGGAACAAAGCACGCAACAACATAAAATAATTGTGAGGCCGCGTAGCTAACATAGCATATTCCATCGACCTTAAAGTTTAAAATTAGTACCAATCGAACGTCTTTCTCCTTAACTTACTTGTTAACGATTTGATGTAGATGCGGTCTTAACATGTTCTCATTTTCTTGAGGAAACAACGAAACGCTTCCAAATACCAGTTTGAAAAGTCGCAAATAAAGATCGCTTCGTTCGACATTTACACCCATTTCTTCCATACGTTCGAGCAAATATTCCACTAATACAGTTGCAAAGATGGGGCTAGTAGCAGGGTTTGCCAGAAGCGTATTAGGAATAGTTTGCAATGTGGAATTCTGTAATTGCAGCATGAGTAGCAATTAGAAAGTAATTTAAATGAAAACAATTTACTTTGTTGACTCTTTCCACTAGATACTCTATGGTGCTGGAAAATATTTCTTGAAAAGTCTGAGGCTTCATCATGGAAAATACACCGCTAAAATGTTCCAGCACTTCCTTTTCCTCCTTTGCTTTCATATTCATAACAACCTACAAAACGATCGTGTTTCTTGCTTTCCTATTTCAACGTATATCTTTCTTACTTTTGACACATGACCTATATTAAGAGTATATACATCTAAAGCTTTCAAAGCCCATCGCACCAATCTGACAAAAATTAGCGTTTCATGCGGTTGGAAAAGTCGAGCTTCCGCCATTGTTTGGCCGGTCGGAGTTTTCCGGCTGCAGCATACCCAAGTAATGGTCTTAACACCGCACACCTAAATCAAGTCAGATATTTCAGTTTTCTGGCATGAAAATAACAACAGCAACATTAGGCCATACCAACGTTTTGACCAGACTTCTATACTCAGCTACGCTATAAGTATTGGTGGTATTTTGTTGACTACCGAAGCGTGACTTGACTAACCCTGCATCAGATTGGATTGTATTTAGGGATTCCAAAATATCGGTTGAATCTGTTTTACTCTACAAAATAAATATAAAACATATCGGTGTAAATTTTTATTTTTGCCATATTGCACTCAACTCATTACCTCTGACTCAAGTTTTTTCTGATCTGAACGGGATACAAGAATCGGTAGATGAATTTTGGATATTGTTTTAAACTTCAGTACAAATATTTCGAGCATTCTCATCAACAAATCTCTTCCATCGTTGCTGCAATTGAAAGAAAACGAGCCCATTAATTTGTAATAATTACAAAATAAGAAACAATATAAAAAAATTTTTGGAATTTGAAAAGAAAGATTTGAACGAATATTTTATAGACCATGTTTATCGAATTAGCAAAACGAGAAAAAATCTTCCACTTATTTCTCGATTTTTAGATATACTTAATATGGGCCTGAGTCAAGTAATATGTCTGGCGTGCAAATGCCTCTTTATAAGCCCTATCTTATATGGCTTGTTAAATCGTTATAAAATTCGCCATACATACTATAAGACTATAAATATATAAATCAATTTCTTAAATAGCCATGGCATAAATACAACTACCTATTTTCGGCCTCAGATTTGTGGCGAATCCATTCAACTAGGTTTAACAACAGCTTACAAGACATGGTATGAATGGTAGTGACTAAGCTTTCGTCATGCACGTTTTTACCGAACAAATGAACTGCCCTCGTAAGGTCGTCCATAGGTAAAAACTGCCGGACATGATGTACCAAATCTGCTAGTGTGGAGTAAGCCAAAGGGCGTAAGGATTCATGAGTCGTCCAGCCACGACCCAGCAACACATCTTCGTCAAATAGACGCTCAATATATGGCACAAACTCTAAAATAAATTAGCAGATTAAAGGCATGATAATTATATATAAATAACACTATAACGTTTTATCAATTTTGTTTTTTAAATATGTTCCTTAAGAGACGCAAAGTCGATGCAATTAGGGCAAGGATACGCATTCTGATGATGAACAAAATGATGTTTTAACAATTGGGAATTCCTACTACTTCCAGACATATTTGAAAACAGCTTTGAAATTTGCGTAACTGTTTTTATTTTCTTCTTAGCTTTTTTTTGGACATATTTTAAAATTATTAATAATAATATATGAGGAGGTGCCAAGCAAAACCCTACAGACGCTCCATTTTCTGCCCCTGTTTTCATAAAACATCAAATAAATTTGCCGCGGTTCAGGCTCGAGTCGTCGGGGAGTTTATCGTCTCAAAAAAGGGATTTTTTCAATTTTGAAATTTTTTCAATGCTTTCATTATTATATTAAGTGTACTACTTATTTACATACATAAATCGAACCAAAGTTAATAGTACCTAATTGGATAATTTTAAAGTTTATTTCCAAAAAAAATTTAAATGTGCGATTGTCAGTTGTGCAACAATTAATTTTAAATTATAGCCGCACTTACAGGTTTCGATATTAAAATTATAAATCTGACGGTTTGAAAGAAACGGTTGATGAATATTGAATCCACATGATCGGATAGTATTATCTTGTAGAGCATAATTTGAGCAAATTTTGGTTTTCTTCGAATATTTTTGGAAGTTACCGGAATTTTTAACTCTTTCAATCTTTCAAAACACCATTAAGTTAAGCATCAAAATTAGGGTCGGTATTTAACGTAACTGCAGTTACAATTTAAGCGGTTGTTTCTGGAACCGTCTCATAAACCCTAAAAAGTAAATAAAAAATAAATAGTAAATAAAAGAACCGATGCGACACCGTCGAGCCATCTATCCAGTTACAGCAGTTTCAGTTGCGTTGATGATTGTGTTTATCACCTTTCGCCTAGAAGAATTACTGTTGATATAATTCAGCATTTTTAGCCGATCAGTATTACTGTTAATGTGGATTATTTAATGTTATTCTTGACGTAATAACACGCGTAAATAATCCAAATTCTATTACAAAAAACTGTGGTGCCCCATCGATCAGAGGAAGTTCAAAAGATTTGTTAAAAGATTTAGTTAACAATTATTTAAAATTAATATCTACCTAAATTATAGATTAAAGAGAAGACAAGAAGAAAATTAAGTATTCAATTTTTCAAGATTTAGACAAACTTGTTTCATAACAAACAAACGCACGTATATTAGTACTTCTGTTCCATGTGAAACATTTTCCAAACCGGGTCTATCATAAACGAGAGAACAACTAGACTTAAGTATCCACAAAAAACTATTCTTAAATGTTAATTCATTTTTTAAATAAAAATTAGCTTTTTTTCGCACGCAAAGCGGAAATTTCATTTAAACCTTCGATTTTATTATCAGTTTTTTCCTTTAAGTAGTTACTTATGACCCATGTTTTGTTTTTGTGTAATAAAGTAAAAATTTAATAATGTGTTTTAATAAACTGAATCATTATTTATAATCACTATTTCTACCATCATTATCGTTGCGAATTTTCAAAGTTCAACTGTATAACCTGTTCCAGAAAAATAACCGTTTAGCACACCTCTAACCAAAATGCGCAACTTTTTCCTAATTAACCAACTTCGTAACGTGTAGGGTTTCCGAGATCCGAATGCTAACACCTCGAATTTGTAACATCTTGTACATAACGTTAATACTAATATCCAAGAAAAAAATTGTTCATATAATATAAAGAAGCAGTGTTTCTAATTAAATCTCAAAGCCAATTGGTTTTTAACCGCGTTAAAACCGAGCCAAAGTTACAAATCCGAGGGCGTCCTTTAGCAAAACTTGCTCCTCGAAAATTTTCAAGAATTTTTTCAATTTTTTTTCTCTAAAAAAACACATAAACTTCAAGCAAAACCACTGTCACAATTGCTGCTCATTATTTTAAATTTTCATTCGCAATGAGTTAGCAAAATGATCACTTACTAGTGCGCAGATCTGTAGCTAGGATATGCCTTGCAGCAATTAAGAGTTCCCTCCTTAAATGTGACACCTCCATTGGACAGAGCGATAGTAGCTCAAGCATACCTTGGACTAACGAGTCTGCGTGATTTTTGACCTACAATTAATATGATAAACATTAAAGTAATAAATCCGACGTGGCTACTCACGACTTCAATGTAACTTTTGATAATGTAGGCCATAAAACTGAGAGTTTTAATCTGCGCTCCCATGAAATCGACAAATGTCTCTTTATTGAAGTTGTCCATCTGTCTGAGCTCTAATGACGGCTGAAGCGTTATAGTTTTCATGATCAACGGAATAAAATCGCTGACACCTTGATGAACGTCTTGTTTGTACAATTGATACATCAGCACTACGATTATGGGCAACTCTTGAAGAACTTTAAGAGATAATACGGCTTTCGGAATAAGAAAGTACTGAAATAAACGATTGTTGAGGAATTGTTGAGCAAATTAGTTAGTCAGTTACTTCAGCAATGAGTGTTCCATCTTCGCTTCGATTTTCAGTTTGAATGCTTCTAATCGTAAATGTTTCCTGCAGGAGTTCGTCTAGGTTTAAATCGGTCAGGTCTTTGACTTTAATAGGAGTTTTGGGCTCGAATATTTTTGGCATGTGGTTTGGCAAGTTTGTGTAGACCGATTTAACAAACTTCAGAAATCTGAAAAAACCAAGCATAGTAAGCAAACCTTATGATTAGTTCGACAGTAACAAAAACTCACTGATGGATACCGCTATTCATTGCGGGCTTATAAATTTTGTGCAGCTCAATTATAATTTTTAAGCATACTAAAACATTCGATTCGTTGTCAGTTTCTAGCAATCTTAACATCAAGTTCAGAATAGGACGTTCATACTTCTTCAAATGCTCATTTGTAGGAAGCCGGTAGAGAATTTCAAGTATTAACTTTCTCACCTATAAAAGAAGAAATGTTTACAACAGGAACTATGAGTAGCCCATCTGTGCATACTTGCTGAATGTTGTATTCGGCTATAAAATATGGCTCGCCTTCTCCTAGAATGTTGAGGAAAACCTTAATGGACAAACTGAGGAACGTGGTATAGTGTGTGGAGCTCAGTATCAACTAAAAAAGCAATACAATTGAAGTTATGAGAAAACAACGCTTATTTAACAGCTACCTCAAAATTGTTACTGATTTCCTGAATCGCTTTCAGCTTAAGATCATCTTTACAGTCAGGATTGTCCAAAGTTTTAATATAGGACATAAACTGGTTCATTTGGGTAGTATGTGGGTCCACAGCCACCTCCATGCTGTTAGAAGATTGAGCTTGCATGGTCACTCAAGTTACACAATCAAGATCGTATCTGTAACAAAATGGGTGATCAAATGGTAAAAAGTGCATGCGAATGCATTCAAAACCTTCTAATTTTATAAACCAACATTTCCTATCATTGCACCGATGGTCTTCAAGACACGTTATATGGATAAACTCAGAACGACTGATCGATTATGACGAGAAATTATGGCGCGCTGTCCCGGCTACTAACATTTAAAGCAGCGCTCAGTATACTGCCCTAAGTTCGGCTGAAAACATTTTCGAATATGGACGACCGGACAATAGATTTGATTTTTGCGGGCTCCCTAGAGAGCCTGCCACCAGTTAGCTCAAAAATTGTAAGAATATTTACAAGTTCCACATTCACAGGTAAAGATAGCAAAAAGTGCACGGTTCAGGCTGCTCAAAGTGAAATACATTTTCAGACACCACAATGGAACGGAACACCCTAATGGCCAAGTGCTACCCTAAGATTAAAGACTATTGTAGAGAGAAGCACGGACTAGAATTTCAGGTATTAGCCGGTTTTTTTACTTTTAAGCTCAGCGGTTGAGCACATATTTTTTTAAATATATACAATATTAATTAATGACTTATTTGTTTGACTGCTTGCAACTATTTGGTTTCTATTTAGTAAACCTTCTAAAAATTATAAATAGGAACAAAATACACTAAGAGAAATAAGTTATTTAAAATTTTCTGTTTTACTGGAATTTATACAAATTTTAGTAATTGCAATTTTATTTAACTTTAAAAAAGTATTAAAACTGTTTTTCACCGTCAATCATATTGACTACAATGTAATTCACCTTCAATTCATTGATTTTAGTCCATACTTCCGTTTTTACAATTAGAGTTTAAAACAGATCTTCAATTTCAAATAATTGATCTCCAGAAATGAACAATTTTAATTTTGGTTTTAATTGATTGAAAACATTAATTCTCTTTAATACATTTTTTCGTTGTTCACTGTTGTGACAAAGGTATTCATTATTTCTTATTATATTTATTATATTTTACTGTTTTTACTAGAATCCATTGAAATAAATTAAATGTTAGATTGTCAATAAATTTTGATGTAACTTGTAACAGTATATTTTACTATAAATTTTTGTTTATGCTAATTATAATTTATGTGAAAGTATGAATATTTCACATGAAAAGATCCATCTTCAATCTGAAATTTACCAATGATTAGG